CGTGCTGCGTGCTGCGTGCTGCGTGCTGCGTGCTGCGTGCTGCGTGCTGCGTGCTGCGTGCTGCGTGCTGCTGCGTGCTGCGTGCTGCTTGCTGCGTGCCTGCGTGCTGCGTGCTGCGTGCTGCGTGCTGCGTGCTGCGTGCTGCGTGCTGCGTGCGTGCTGCGTGCTGCGTGCTGCGTGCTGCGTGCTGCGTGCTGCGTGCTGCGTGCTGCGTGCTGCGTGCTGCGTGCTGCGTGCTGCGTGCTGCGTGCTGCGTGCTGCGTGCTGCGTGCTGCGTGCTGCGTGCTGCGTGCTGCGTGCTGCGTGCTGCGTGCTGCGTGCGGCGTGCTGCGTGCTGCGTGCTGCGTGCTGCGTGCTGCGTGCTGCGTGCTGCGTGCTGCGTGCTGCGTGCTGCGTGGTGCGTGCTGCGTGGTGCGTGCTGCGTGCTGCGTGCTGCGTGCTGCGTGCTGCGTGCTGCGTGCTGCGTGCTGCGTGCTGCGTGCTGCGTGCTGCGTGCTGCGTGCTGCGTGCTGTGTGTTGTGGTTGTTGTGTGTGGTGGTGGTTGTGTGGTGGTGGTTGTGTGGTGGTGGTTGTGTGGTGGTGGTTGTGTGGTGGTGGTTGTGTGGTGGTGGTTGTGTGGTGGTGGTTGTGTGGTGGTGGTTGTGCGGTGGTTGTGCGGTTGTGTGGTTGTGTGGTTGTGTGGTTGTGTGGTTGTGTGGTTGTGTGTTGTGTGTTGTGTGTGTGTGTGATACCGGGTCGAGATATGTCCGTGAGACCGCTGCAAAAGTCTTGAAGCCTGCAGGATCGAAGCCCACATCTCCGACGTAGGTCGAGTTGAAGATGTCGTTGGTCAGGCCCTCCGGAATGGGGTCCCAGGGAAGTGCCGTGGACTTGCCGGCACCAGAGCCGAACTCGGCCCGCATCGCCACCCTGTCACCAGCCTCACGCTGCGCGTAGCCACCCACGAAGGGGTTCAAGTTACCTGTTGTGAACTGCTCGACGAGGGACTGGCCAGTGGCACCATTCTGCGCCACAATGGCGGCCATGGCAACCATGGCCAAACGGCCGTTGTTGATCTCAGCCAGCAGCTTCTTTTGCTTCTCCTCGGGCTCGAGGGTGTTGATTCGGCCCCAGAAGGGAGGGTAGCCATAGTTCTCCGGGAATGCCTGATTCTTGGCCTCAATGGCACCTGCAAAGGCAAGGATCTGCAACCAGCCGAAGGTGGGGACCTTGTAGATGGCCTCAATGGTGCAAGGGATGTCGGAGAACTTCAGGCCCGCGCTGGGCGAGAGGTAACCACCGAAGCGGCCAAAGAGGTCAGGCACGATCATCCCGATTGTGGCGGCCATGCAAATCCTGCCGTGCTTGAGCTCCAGCTCGCGGTTGCGGCGGAACTTCTCCTCATCCTGGAACGCCATCATGCCAAAGGGGTCCCAGTAGCCCAGGGGGGGGCAGGCGCCGAGCTCCTGGGAAGGGTCGAAGGCGAAGAAGCCCTGACCATCGTTGAAGGGCGAGTAGTGGCCAGCCTGCAGCTGTTCGATCGGGGACTGCCCGGTGAGGCCATTCTGGATCAGCATGCCAGCCATTGCAATCATGGCCAAACGGCCATTGTTCAGCTCCGTGGTCAGCTTTAGCCGACGCTCTGCTGGATCCTGGATCTTCCTGCCCCAGTAACCAGTACCGAAGTTGCCAGGCTCTGCCCCATACTTACCATAGGCGAAGCCTCCGAAGGACTGATCCTTGAAGAGCTGAGTCTCAATGAGGCCCGCCACTAGTAAGACCTGAAGCCAGCCCTCTAGGGGGACTTTGCTGACCGCCGCAATTCCCGAAGGAACATCTGCGAATTTCAGGTTCTGCGATGGGGACAGGTACCCGTCGAACTTTCCGAAGACGTCCGGCCAGAGCATGCCGATCGTGGCAACCATACAGAGCCTTCCGTGCTTCAACTCGACGGCCCTCCGGCGGTCGAAGTCCTCCTTCGTGCAGCCGTCCTGGCAGTAGCCAACCGGATCCCAAAACAGCAACGGGTCGCACGCGCCAATCTCATTGGAGGCATCATAGGCACAGCGCACGACACCGGATCTCGTAGCTGTGGGGCGCACGAGCGAGGCAGCCAAGCCAATGGCACCGATGGCACCGAGGCCGACGCCGGCTGCACCTGCCGCACTGGTGCCGGCAGCAGCTTTGCCTGACCTGTGCTGAGTGCTACGGAGAGTAGGCTGCCGTGCCTGCGGCACTCCGACAAAGGCGGTCGCAGCAGCAACTGTGGCCGCACCAGTGGCCAAAGCCGACATCTTGGACATGGCTGGCATTGCAAAAACAAGGGGGCACGAGAGGCGTCCCTGGAAGGCCACGGCCTTTGCAGCCCAAAGTTCCCAGTGCCGACATTTTCTGAAGTATTCACACATGATGAACATGATGTGAGGAGCAGCATGTTTCCACAGGGACATGAAACAACTTACGTATCACAGCTGAGGCGCCCATGCCGAAATCGCCGCTTTCGATGGCATGGCCTGTGCAACGTGCACTTCTGGAAAGCAAAATCGGTTGCCATGTCTTGGGCAGGCCCGCAACTTAGGGTGAGAAGGCCTTCGTCGAGCCTCTGCGGCTCGTGTTGGTTCGATGCGGTATGGGGGACTCTCTCGAGTTGTGGTTTGTCCGTTTTCGCTATGTAGTGTCGCACAGATTTTGCTGTCTCTATATGACAGTTTCTGGGTGGAGGCGCGATGTCTACAGTAATCACCAGGTGATGCCTGCACGTGGTCCTGCTGCGTTATGCATGCTGGGCTTTGGCCGGGCGTGCACATGACAGAGTTCGTACTTGGCTCATGCCTGAAAGCACTGCATCAGCATCATAGCCATCACCATCATCATCATCATCATCATCATCAGGAAATACACTCCGTCCAAGTGGTATACCTGCACTTACATCTTACATCTGTGTGACATGTTCTTGTTCTCTTGCGAGTTGGTCCGCCGTTCTGGGTACCAGGATGAGCAGCATGTGCGGAGGGATCTAATCAAGGTTCCGGACGAGAGAAAAACCTGAAACTGCTGATTTACAAGAAGGTAATGTTGAGTGTTGAAGGCCGCTCATGCCGAAACTGAAAAGCACCTGGGCATGGAGCCTGAAAGTCAGAACAGACATTGCTCCACCATACGCTCAGCACAGCAGCTCGTCAACCACTCGCACCACCAGTCCACTTCAATACACACATCACAGCTGGGCAATCCTATAATGACATTGCAAGATGCAAGCCCACCTCTCCCGGTGCCAGGCCCCGGAAGTTTCTCAGAGGAGAAAGAGCGTCGCTTGGTTTCTACTTTCCACCCTTGCTCCATGCATAGACTTCTCTAAGCTCCCAAGCTTTTCAAGCTTTCTGCACTGCGGGGCCGGTGACTGAAAAAAGGGCTCCAGCCTATGCGGAAGCTTTGCCTACCCTCTCAGATGTCCCTGGGAATGAAGTCGCCAACGGAAGACTGGAACTCCGCGGCCGCCAAGTTGGGGAGTAGCGAAGGTCCCTCGCCGGTGGATGCATTTCTGAGCACCATGAAGAAGAAGCCCACCATAGCCAGACGGCAGTGCTTGATCTCACGTAGCTTCATGTTGTTCCACTCCTGCAGATTGATGCTGATTCTGGTTTCCCACCGCCGCGAACCCACCGAAACAGACCGAAGCCATTAAGCTCACAGATATTCAGTCCTCTGGCTGGTAAGCAGCCGTGAAGGTAGGACCAAACCTCGTTGATCGGATGCAGTCAGCGTTTGAACAGTGTCTGGTTAAATCGTTGTTGCATCGTCATCAGTCTACATGGGCACTCATGGGCTGGAGGCTAGCACAGATGATCACGGATGCTCAGACAGATGCAAGCACGGATGCGAACACCTCAGCTGCAGGCCACTTGGGACGCGGGCTGCTCACCGGGGCTGTCGGATTCCAGCCGAGGTCCCCCGGCTGGACACCCTGGGAGTACTTGCTGATGACCTGCCGCAACTGTCGCAAGATAGCGCACCGAAAGCAGGGATTCGCCGGGCAAACCGGCGCAACCTCGAATTCTTGGGCTCTAGCAGACTCTAGCACCTCTTGGGGCCTGTACATGCCCTGGACCTTCTCGAGCATTATGCCAACCGACTACCCAAGGCACGTTCTCGTAGCGCCAGAGCTCAGACAGCGCGATCACAACAATGATCTGAAGCCAGCCGATGATCGGAACCTGTCACCGAGCGAGACTCCATACCTGCCTGTTTTTGCTACGGAGCATCTCCTTGGGACAACTACTTGCCGCACTAACATGAACAGGCTACCTGCATCTCCCTGCATTCTCACCCGCCATCATCCGCCTGCGTGGCCGCCTTCAGGGGGTCCGCGGAATCCGTCGGGTAACGGGTGATGAAAGGCTCGAACTTGGCACCGGCAGTCTGCACCTCAGTTCGGACATGTTCGGATTCTTCTCAAAGAGACTGCATCCGCCCCAGTCGGAAGCTGAGGGGCGGTGTAGCCCAGCACCGCGAGCATGCAAACGCGGCCATGCGCAAGCTCGGCTTCGCGGTACCAAGGAAGCAGGCGCTGGTTCTTCGCGAAGCCTGGCCAGAAGGCTTCGACATGTTCAGCATTTGCATCACCGGAGAGAGTGCAAAGCAATGCATTGAAGACTCGCTCCTCCACAGCGAAACTTTCAAAAACATAAAGCACAACTTCCGAGAAGACATTGAACTTTGTGATGGCGACGTGCCAACGTTTTTCGGTCAGCGTGTCTAACCTTGCCATTAATTTTGCAGCGCATTGATGTTGGCTGTTTGTGGCTTTTTTTACTCGATCAAGAGCGCATCCATGTGTTCAAACATGTTCATGCGCTTGCTCGGGACTGAGGTTTTTCCGATGTCGGTGTGTGGGTGCGTGCGTGAATGCGCGAGTGCGCTGGTGCGCGGGTGCGTGTGTGCGTGGGTGCGTGGGTGCATGGGTGCGTGGGTGCGTGGTGCGCGTGCTCTTGTGCGCGTGCGCGTGCTCTTGTGCGCATGTGCGCGTTCCGCGTGCTCTTGTTCGCTTGCTCTTGTGCGCGTGCATGTGCTCTGTTTCAGGAACTCAAAAACCATTCGAAAATTGGCAGGACTTCGCTCAAAGGCACAACCACCCTTGAGCGGGCGTTGATGAGCTGTTTAGTCCACTTGTCCACTGCGTTGATGAAGTCCCCAGATGCCGCTGGCACGGTAGGTTTCGCATGCTAGGAGAGAATGAGACTTCAGCAAAGAAGGTCGGTGAATAACTCCATTTCATGGTTGTTTTGAGGGTTGATGATTGGATCCCTTCGGCATAGGGGTTCCTCCAGTAAGGGCTGCAGTCCAACTGGTATGGCAGGCTTCGCTAGCTTTATTCTTGATCATCAGACTTGCTGACATCTTGGTTCACAAAGGCGGAAACAGTCAGGTCTGCAGGTCCTGTCCTCCAGGTCTCGTTGAACAGTAGCTTGTCACACTTTGAGCTACTGCAGCCCTATGCAGCCCTGCTTCCGCACCTCATCTTTTTAAGAGCTGAATTTCCGACAAAAGGTCAGAGTCGAAATCATTGTGAATGGCGAATCTATGGCCCTGGGAGGGACCCGAGCTCGATCCTGGGCGCCTGGGGCGTGAGGAGGCACGAGGTGCGCCGGGAACGACCCCCCGAACGTAAGCATGTTGTTGTCCTTTGTTTCTCGTAGTTTTGTTTGTGTGGCCTTGGCGCATCCCCGATAAAGCTCATAAGTGCAGTTCACGTGGGGGCCACTGATGCTTGTGATGCTCTAGTGCTCGTGATGCTCATGATGCTCATGATGCTCATGATGCTCTGTGGGCTTCTTGGGGGCGCGCGCCACACTAGGCGACCCGTCCGACGCCTCCTCTTGGTCTAACGGGGTCGCGAAAAGGGAAGTCCACAGGGGGACTCCGGATGTTCAGTCATATGAGTGTGATACCGGGTCGAGATATGTCCGTGAGACCGCTGCAAAAGTCTTGAAGCCTGCAGGATCGAAGCCCACATCTCCGACGTAGGTCGAGTTGAAGATGTCGTTGGTCAGGCCCTCCGGAATGGGGTCCCAGGGAAGTGCCGTGGACTTGCCGGCACCAGAGCCGAACTCGGCCCGCATCGCCACCCTGTCACCAGCCTCACGCTGCGCGTAGCCACCCACGAAGGGGTTCAAGTTACCTGTTGTGAACTGCTCGACGAGGGACTGGCCAGTGGCACCATTCTGCGCCACAATGGCGGCCATGGCAACCATGGCCAAACGGCCGTTGTTGATCTCAGCCAGCAGCTTCTTTTGCTTCTCCTCGGGCTCGAGGGTGTTGATTCGGCCCCAGAAGGGAGGGTAGCCATAGTTCTCCGGGAATGCCTGATTCTTGGCCTCAATGGCACCTGCAAAGGCAAGGATCTGCAACCAGCCGAAGGTGGGGACCTTGTAGATGGCCTCAATGGTGCAAGGGATGTCGGAGAACTTCAGGCCCGCGCTGGGCGAGAGGTAACCACCGAAGCGGCCAAAGAGGTCAGGCACGATCATCCCGATTGTGGCGGCCATGCAAATCCTGCCGTGCTTGAGCTCCAGCTCGCGGTTGCGGCGGAACTTCTCCTCATCCTGGAACGCCATCATGCCAAAGGGGTCCCAGTAGCCCAGGGGGGGGCAGGCGCCGAGCTCCTGGGAAGGGTCGAAGGCGAAGAAGCCCTGACCATCGTTGAAGGGCGAGTAGTGGCCAGCCTGCAGCTGTTCGATCGGGGACTGCCCGGTGAGGCCATTCTGGATCAGCATGCCAGCCATTGCAATCATGGCCAAACGGCCATTGTTCAGCTCCGTGGTCAGCTTTAGCCGACGCTCTGCTGGATCCTGGATCTTCCTGCCCCAGTAACCAGTACCGAAGTTGCCAGGCTCTGCCCCATACTTACCATAGGCGAAGCCTCCGAAGGACTGATCCTTGAAGAGCTGAGTCTCAATGAGGCCCGCCACTAGTAAGACCTGAAGCCAGCCCTCTAGGGGGACTTTGCTGACCGCCGCAATTCCCGAAGGAACATCTGCGAATTTCAGGTTCTGCGATGGGGACAGGTACCCGTCGAACTTTCCGAAGACGTCCGGCCAGAGCATGCCGATCGTGGCAACCATACAGAGCCTTCCGTGCTTCAACTCGACGGCCCTCCGGCGGTCGAAGTCCTCCTTCGTGCAGCCGTCCTGGCAGTAGCCTGAGCGTGTATCATCACACAGTCATGAGTCATGCAAGTAACGACAGGCGACTGTGCAGCATCCTCTTGCGGCAGGCACGCCCACAGGGTCCCAGAAGAGCAGAGGGTCACAAGCACCAATCTCCTGTGATAGAGCTGCCACCGAAGACTCAGTTACCGAATCAGAGTGAATACCGGACTTCCCAAGGCAGCAAGACCTTCCGGAAAGCTGGCATCCGAGGCCTGCGATGCATCGTAGGCGCAGCGAACGACGGAGCCCCTCGCACCAAGGGATTGAAATTTAGACATGGGAGATGTATTTGTGGTGTTGAGTGGCGTTGACAACATCGACTACGGACGGGACAGCGTACTTAGGTGGCCGGAGCCTCGTCGACGGCCGCACGGCCGAAAGGCTGGCTAAGCCAGCAATGGCTCCAAAGGCGCCGAGGCCAAGGCCAAGGCCACCACCTGGCAAGAGCGCCAATACAACCAAGAGGGGTTGATGAACATTGGCAAACATTGGCGAACATGGAAATCCGGGTCTGAGCAAAAACGGGGAAAGAAAAAAAAGATTTGGAGATTTAAGAAGAGGGAGAAAGAAAGAGATAGAGAAAGAAAAAATCTGGGAAAGAGAGAAAGAGAGAAAGAGAGGTAAGCCCTGCGACCTCCGCTTTCCTCCTACTGAGCCTTTCAGCAGTATTTGCATGTATTTGCTGGGCACATCTGGGCACTCTAGGAGTGCTCTGCGGGATTCTTCGTGGGATTTCTTGGGTCACTCCAGCTTGGAGTTGGCGCCGTTTGGCCGGGGAGCAGCAAAGGAGGCAAGGCACACAAAATGCAGCAGCAAAATAAATCCAAATAGAATAGACTCCACAATAAAGGAGGCAAAAACATTTGAGAAGTCAATGACAGGCCACGCTTGCCAATTATCGCTCCCATCGGAGTCATCGGAACAGTTAAATTGCATCTGCTTTGAGCACAGAACACGAGGCCACGCCTGTCGAAGACCTTTGCTCTGGCTGGGCACCGCGTAAGGAGATCGACTGCCTGCACCGAGAGTGAGCCCACGTATGGTGTGTTTCAAGCAGCACCTCGTAGTGCCCTCGTAAGTCCGCAGTATCAAAAAAAGACCTCCCCACGCCTCGATACCGTTTGCGGAACTCCGACGAAGGTCGTTGCCGCAGTGGCAGCTGCAGCACCGGCAGCGACGATGGAGAGCTTTGACATGGCAGGCATGGCCTCACACGCAAACAGCTCTGCTCAGCAAGAGGTGTCTGCATCAACTCTTCCGCTCACTGTCTTCCAAGTCACAATGACACAGGCTAACGACATGTTCTACGACAAATCGCTGAAGTCGGAACACAGACGCCCAATGCCCTTTGAAGTTTATGCCCTGAGCACCATGCCGGCAAAATCGGAGGCGTCTTCGACGTCTTTGAAAAACCACGGCTACGGCAGTGTGCAAACAGTGTGCAAGTATGTGCAAGTGATTGACATACAAGGGCGATCATGCGCAATACATGTTGAGCAACTTCGCAGAGGTTCGCAGTCATTCTCACGACACCGGGAAAGTCCCGGCCAGAAAAATGCAAGAGCTGAGCAGGATTGCCGGAAGCACTGGGGAACGCCACAAGCCAATTTGTGGCCACAGGAGGTGGGGCTGCCACATTTGCTTCACGTGCAAATATGAAGGTCCGCACGATTGCAAGGTGTTTTGCTGGCATCTTGGATCCTGATCCAAAGCCCGAAAAGCCGAGGTCAACTCATGCCGGAGTGCTGTGGAGTCGTGACATGTCATGACGTTCCCAGCTTCAAGCCCAGAGCCACTCATACTAGCCTGGCAGGCCCATTTTGATCTAAACTCAATCAGTATGCACAGAGGCAAGATTATGGATTGTAAGTTAAGCCTCTGGGTCGGACCCGTTGACCGCGCAAGCAATCTAAAGAACGGCATAAGCGATGCGTCCTTTTTGGTTGGCAACATGCTCCGGTTCCCAGTGGTGCAGACATCTCAGTCGGTTTTCCTGCCATGCAGGAATCACTTAGACAGGCTATGCAAAAATCAAGAGGGGTGAAATCACGAAGCTGACAAGAACAAAAGCCACGGCCGAAGCACGCCGGTCATCCCTGGCTCTCCCCCTTCATTGCCCTTCAGTCCCACAAAATGTGACGTCACAAAATGGGCCTTCGGAAGGAGCAGCCCTCAGTCAGTCGAGCCAGGCCACCCGTCGGCTGACAAAGCATCACCTTTTGTCGAATGAAGTGCTGGAGTGCCAGAACTCGTAACAATGTGTACTATAGTGTACTGTAGTGCACGATATTGTACCATCTTGTACGAGCTTGCACTATACTGTACTATGTTGTAATTGTACTATATCGTCCTGTGCACCGTGCTATCACTTGCCAACAGCCGCCTGTTGCCCGAACAGGCCCTAACGACTAACAAAGGCCCCGGCATTGCAGTTGCCACAAAGCACAACCGTCTGAGCGTGGCTGAAGACGGTGGTGATCTCGCAAAGTTCAGCAACCGGTGTCAGGAGGGTCTCAACAAGTCTGCCAGAGCTGTCACTGACATTCGACATAGCGACATGATATATCGCAACAGCTCCAACCTATTGATGTGACCACGACTACATGATACTATATGAATATGCAAGCGCATGGCATGCGGACCTGGAGGCAGCCCGGGCACTTCACGTCCATGAAGAAACCTCAACAAATCAAGGCTGTGCTGCTTGCGTTGCTTGCGGCGCCTGCTTTGCTTGCATTATCTTGCATTGCCTGCCGTCGCGTACTGGCACTTGCTGTTCGCGGCCACGACAGTCACAGCTCACACCCATTAGCTCTCGCGCCCGTTGTCTGACCAGGTCCAGATTCAACGATGCTTCTAAGGGTCACCCTTCGTTAGGGGGCCAAGATGACTAGGGACAAGCAGCCCTTGAGCATCATGTTAGTTACGTCTGTTGAATTGCGAGGCACAGCGCTGTCACCAAGTCCACCCACCAAGCCGACAGAGAGCGTTGAGTCGGTAAGCCCGTTAAGCCGCACACACACCGCACGGCGCTGTGCCGCCAAGGGGCTGTTGGGCGACTGGATCATGCGCTTAAGCTTGTGCTTGGACTGCGGCAACATAAGGCAACATCCAGACTTGTAACAGGTGCATGTCACTCACTAGAGAAATCTGCTCAAAGACACGGCTGTGAAATTTTCGCCGCAAGCGACTCACCAAATGGCCTTCTCTTCCTTAAGATCCGGATTCAGCAGGTCGATGTCCATGTTGCAAGCCACAAAGCCTCTGCCAGGCGCCTGAAGCCCAAGCAACAAAAAGGTGCAACACTGGGCACTGGCACTGCAACAAGTCTGAATTCTGCAAGACTTGTGGACATGTTGCTGAGCTGCTCGGACTCTGCTGCCACTAGTGCTTCTGAGGCGCCAGGGCCAACTCTGCAGAACCGCTTCACCACCAGGCAGAAGCGAGCCAAGGATACGCGGAAATGCAAGTAACTGAGCTTGCCATCTGGACACCCCAGCCCCTTGAGGTACATGACCAAACGCTTTACTGTAGGTGCAACTCACTGGGGCGGTACCACGAAGGCATGGTGTCCTGGTTCATTGCATCCCTTTGGTTTGCCAGTGTTGCCATGATGCAGCGCTCAACCCAAACCCTCCCCACGAGTCTCAGCTTTTTCCATGACAGCTTGCTCCCTGATGCTGTCAGACGCAGCGCAAGCCCTTGGAACAGGATTGGTGTGCAGTGACTCCTGAATGAGACCTACGGAATACTACAGAATCTCTAAACCTCCACATCTGAGGACTGAGAGCAGTTTCGTGCAGCAGTGGCTGCAAATTCAACGAACGTTCGGAGCGAGCCTTAAATCTCGAAGGCAAGCTTCTCCCCCTTGTTCACGGAGAAACCTGCAAAGAGGTGCAGGGGCAAAAAACACAACTTTCCAAGTCGGGCCTGTCAGCGGAGGGACCACGTGCACTTGCCAGGAAAGACTCCGCTTCGTACGACGGCGAAGCCAGTGCCAAGTGAGGCACCAGCATGGACAACGGCAGTCCACAAAGCATCATCAAGTGCACAGCACAGCCAATGCGGTTGTCTTCTTAACGAAATGCTTTTGGCCGAACTCCTTTACGTGAAACGGCATGATCAAAAAGGCAGCATGATGCAGCATGTCCCACAGCCTCGCATTTCGCTCAGCAATGAATTTCCCGACCGCCTCCGGGTCCTGCCAAGCGCTTTCAGTGTTTCAGTGCAGCTTGCGAGAGCGGCGAGAACCGAGAACCTGCCCCAGCTTTCTGAAGCACCTTCTCATGCAGTGAGCTGCCTGAAACGCATCTTTGCCCGCAAGGTGGAAGCCAGCCAAAGCCGCTGAAACCTCCTGTCGCGTGTGCGCAAAAACAGCTCTGGACAGACAATGGCTACCAGAAAACTTGGAGTTCGTCGCACGTCCAAGTTCGGGGATGGTTTTGGCGTATCCGGATGATCCCTTGATTGTTTCGCCTTGTGGTTGCATGATGCTACCGAAAAAGTGAACGGGCCTTGTGTTACAAAAGAAAAACGGCAATTGTCACGACTCGCAGTCTGGACACCCCGGCCCCGGCGTGTCTCAGGCGAGGTTCTTCAAGTTCTCACAACTCCAAACTTCGGGCCAAGCTGAATGAAAACTCGCCACACCGCTGCGCTTACGCAGGTTTACGCTCATCATGCGCCCATATCACGGATAGCACGGAGCAGTTGTGCCTAGCGGACGACATAGTGCGACTCTTGGATACTCTGGAGCTGGCCACTTCTTAGTTTCGTAGAAGCTTAAACAAGATGAAAAAGCACATGCATGAAACTCACAAAGTTCTCAAAGGGACAAAGGGAGATTGTGCTTGAAAACTGACTCAATTCCAGAAAGCGAAAATATTCACTTCGAACATCCCCACCTGCCAAAAGGAATGGGCGCCATCCTGCCGTTTTCGGACGGGTAAAGGCTTGCGGATACTTCGCCGCAGGCTTTCGTCGCAGGACTGCCCTCCGGGAATGTTCGAAAGGTTGTCTGCCCGGAAATACTTGGCGGGACTCTTTGTTTGCTTTTCCAACTTCAGATGGTGTCTTCATATCCGTTTGGATAGCTGGGGACTCTCGGGCACTCCAGGGATACTCAGCCCAAAACGATATCTAACACACACACACACACACACATACACACACAAACACACACACACACACACACACACACACAGAGGGGCTGCGGGGCGCCCAGGTGGGGCCTGAGTTTCGGCACAGCGGTTCCCACATGCCTGGGGAGTTTGAGCAGCGTCTGTGCAAATTACACAGCCACACAGCTTGCAGCACGAAAAGACTCTTTTGCCAAGAATTGTTGCAGCAGTTGTCTGTGGCGGCCTTGCCTCTCTCCTCGTACTTCGGAACAGTTGTCACAATGGCTTAGAAGGTTGGGGCTATGCTTGTTGTTGCTGTTGCTCTGTTGTTGCCAGACGGCTCCCGGCCAGTTCTTTGAATCGTGTACTTTGCTGAATCGGGAAGGTATTCTGATTCGGACAGCTTAAGTGTGCATCACGCGCACTGGGCTTATCATTCGCTGTCCCTGCACACAGCGGCTGTTTATGTCACCAACGTCGCACATGTCGCCAACCTAGGTCTCAATCTGAACTCGGCGTCCTCTTCTCGTAGAAGGTGGAAAGCAGGATGTGGCGCACGGCCCACAAAATTTGCACAATCTGCAGCATCCTCGGTGTCACAGGGAGAGTCGATTTCTGCTGCTCATGCCTACTACCACCTGAGGATGTGTGGGGCTGTCGCTGACAGAAGCTGACAGCAGTTTCTCACGTTTTCTCTTAATCTCTTCCTGTTAAGACACTCGGCGCCTGGCAGAACCATTGAATCGGAAGTATGGATGAAAAACTGCCATCTGCACCTATCCGCCACATTCGAGTATCAGGAAAGCATTCACGACACCGGCCACGCTTCGTGCCAAAGACTCCAGAGATGCCCTGCTAGTTTTGGGCATTGGAAAGCCCATGGACAAGCAGCGTCGTTTCTGCTTCGCACGCAGTGAAGACCTGGGCATGTTCAGGCCTTGCCGATCAGGTTCCCTTCTGAGAAGGCTTCTTCCACCCAGCTGCAAAGCTCCAGGTAGTCCTGGTCAAGATGCGGATGAAGGCACATGCCCGCACGAGGACGTGCCACATCGTGTTCTGAAAGGATTCGAGAAAGGTAGGGGCACTGATACTTAATCTGCACCGATGCTTCTCTTACAAACAAAACGAATGCAACGGTAATCATCGGTAGTCTCCATCCGCAGTTCATGTAAAGACTTGCGCGATGTGCTTGCCAATTTGCTGGGCGTTTCACCGGGCTCCGGCCTCGAAGTCACGCAGCTTTGGACACCTGCAAGTGGTCACGGCGATGCTCGGCCTTTCTCTTTTGAAAACACAAAGTCTTGTCACTGACTACTCGTGCAAACAACAACGTACGGCTCGTCTATTAAGGTCGGAAAGGTCACATGAGGTCACACTAGTGAGTTGGTGACTTGTGTGCAACGCATGTGGAGGAGCTCTTGATAGCTCTTGGATCAAGTTTTGAACTGCGGAAAGAGACTGGCCTGGGTGCAACGAGCAACGTCGTGGCACCCTCGTCCTGCGGCGGGCGCTGCAGTGCCTCAATGCTGATCATAGGACTGTTCCACATGCCTGAGGGCTGCCTGAGAAGACGCAGCTCGCATCAGCTCAGCTGGCAGCAAGGAGCTGCGCGTGCGTCACCAGGGCCGCTGCTACCTCCTCCTCCAGCAGACACACGGAGCTTGCTCACAAAACACAACCAACGTCCCACCATGTTTGGCGCGGCTTGGCAGAGGCTCTGATTTTGACCCTCACTGACCCTCCGACGCCAGGAACGCCAGGGCCAGGGTGAGCGGACGTTGAACCCCTTGAACTCCCTTGAACTCCCTTGGTTCCTTTCTGTGGCATGGTGTCTGAACCTGCACATTTTCCAGCATGCAAGCACATACTGCTTTGGTGACTGCGAGCTTCAGTTGTCGAGCCGTAGTTAATGTTTATTGCTGCTTGCTGTTCGGGCGGTTGCAAGTTCAACTCAGCTCGGATTCCTCCTTCGGATCTTGTCATGCAAACCCCCAACCATGAGCACGGACCTACTGTAATCCTTTCCGAAAGAACCCGTAAAACCCCATTCGATCCCCTTCGTCCTGTTCAGATTCCATCAACGATACGACGGCCAAGCTCCTCTGCCTGCGCAACCCGAGTCCGACGCTCTAACTGCTCTCAACGTCCAAAGCCACTTCCAAACCGATGCGCGCGCTTGATCACGCTTGTGCCATAAGAACACGGCCTCAGTGCTCCGTCAGCCCAAGGGCAAAGTCCATGCCCAACAACAACTCGCCGAACCTTTGATGGCTCCGGATGTGGCGCTGACTTGAAGCAGGCTTCGTAGAGTTGTCTTCTGGACCAGCTCTTTCACTGTCCAATTTGTGAAAATGCTCTGAGGGCGAAGCCCAGGCTTCAACTGCACGGGCCTGGCGACGCAAATTCTCACAACATTCCTCCAGGCCAGCAGAGCTCGAGAGAATTTTCTCAAGCGGATGCAAGTGGAAAGGGTTCGGGGCACGCTCTCAAAAGCCGCCAGCACTCGCTTCCAGCGCTCGCTTCCAGCACTCGATTCCCATGATTCCTATACCCCATGTTCTTTCAACCATTTCATCATCTTTCAACATTCATACGGACACCCTCATCTATAGATGTTTCCCAGATACCGTCTAGTCGAGTTCACAGCATCTGAATTCCCAGGTCTTCTCACCTCGCGAAGACAAATCTCAAACGGCGGTTTGAAGCCCTCCAGTACTCCCTCACAACCATGTTCCCATGGTTGTTTTCTCATTCTCGCGACACATGTCCTCAGTCCTTTGTCAGATCTTTGAGGGAGCTCATGGTGCTTCCGCGGTGCTTCGACTTTCTCGAATGACGGACCTGCAGAGCCTCGACTTGCGCAGAGGCTGGGATGAGCTTGGATCCTCTGGTTCACATTTCACCACGCTTCACCACAGTTCAACGCCTGCTTCAATTTGATCACAGGCTTGTGAACAGCGGTTGGCACATGCATTCGAATCTTCCTTTTCCTGCAGCTGTTGTAGTTTGTTCTGGCACCATAGCTCAAGCCTGTGTCGGGCGGCCCATCCACTGACCTTTCAAACCATGATGCATGCGCATGCTACTGCTGCGCGCAGGCCTTCGGCAGTCGAGCCTTCTCACCCACTCAGGATGGTGGAATACCGTTGCTCTGCAGTCTGCTTGAGCAGCTTCAATTTAGCGTAGGAGCCGGATTCAGTCTGCACAAGTCCGACGCCTGCAAGGATTCGGGTAACGGATCTTCGTGCAAATGCTTCAATCCCGTCGCTTCCTGGTGTCACCACCTGACAAACTGAGATTTGTAGGCTGGCACCGTGAACCTCGAGCAGGACCGCGTGATGCCGCACGACGCTCCGCCAGCAGCAGGCCCAATGCCAGGACGAGCAGTCCAAGTCCGCGCCAGGCTCCGAACGGCTTTCCTGGAAACAACACATACCTGAGCTCATTGAGTCAAAGTTCCCACAAGCCAGGAGAGTACTGGGCTGCTGGGCTGGTGGGCTGGAAAGCTATGGAAGCCAAGCTGCGAAAGCAGCAGCGAGGCACTCTTCCGAGTAGTTGCCACAGCCACGGCCGGCACGGAGCCAGCACAGGCCACCAAGTCCGTGTAGCAGAACACACTGCCTGACACAGAGTGAGCTTACCCCCTATTCTCCTGATGTACAGCAGCGCACACGGGCAAATGAGAAAGGTAGAAACATGTGCGAACACGCGTACAATAGCTTGCCCGCATTTGCACACCTGCCAGGGACAGTCCGATGGCCGGGATCAGCCACAGCAGCTGAGGATGCTGACCTCCAAGGAAGAGGTGTCAACGTTGAGTTTTGATGCACGTGCCATTTCGACAGTAACCTCTAGTAGACTCTAGTAAAGTCGAACAGGACGTGTCCCAGCCCCCATTAGAATCATATCAGTGGAATCATTGGCTGAAAGTTGCGCCCCGCCTGCGTACTCAACCACTGACATCGCATCGCCACTCAGAATGATGCCAGCAATTCCTAGAGAAGCATCTCGGTTCTTACACTGAACCAAACAAGCACGCAAGCACCAACATTGCACTACATTCTGCCTCGCATCCTACATTCACTACATTCTGCTTCACGTCCGTTGTGCCTGTCAGTGAGCCGATGGCATTGGTTCGCGCCATCAGCTCTGCAGGCTTTGTTCCGGTGCGCAAAATCTTTTGCTGCAGGTTTGGAACCTTCGCTCAGTGCTCAGAGCTCTGAAAGCTCAGTGCAACTCTCAATCTAGTGGAATTTCGCACTATGCTGCATCATGCGTCATGCACGTCAACAAGGAACTGAAAGCAATGTCTGAGCCAGCAGGCCAAACCATCGAAAAGGCAGGATAACGCCAGGGCCAGCATGCCTCTGGAGGAAGTACACGTTTGTCTGGGCATTCGAGTTCTTCACAGTATGGCTAGCGACTGGCTCCGGCAAGCAGAAGTCTGAAAGATCCTAAAGACTCAAAACTGAAATCATCCTCCTGCACAGGCCATGCTACCAACCACCTGCTGCCAGGAGCTCGCATTCAGAGCATGACCACCACCGTAGGAGAAAAGCGCTGTGCCTGCCTTGGTGGCTGTCTTAGAGAGGCTGGGAACAAAGAGTCTCTACGGCCTCGATGGCATGAGTCCCGTGGTAGCAGCTAGTCATAAGAAGATTCTTCGGGCCTGCGGAGAATCTGGCGTTGTTGCGAACTCGAAACTTTAGTTACTTGAGTTGCCTCTGAGCCTACGATACGGGCCGAGGCACGCACAGCAGCAAAGCTGCAACATAGTCCAAGGCCTCTCAAGCAGCTGTGACACATCGCCTCCCAATCGGCCTCGCACCCTCGGCCCTGCACAAGGCTCAGGAATGCAACCTGATGCAACCTGATGCAACATGCACTAAGGCAACAAAAAGCTGTTGCATAAGTTTCAGCACTCTGCCTGGAAGTGGCTGGAGTTGCCCAGTAGGCCCGAGATAAGCATGGTAGGCATCCTTTCAAAGTAGATTTCAAGCGTCGGCAAGGCGTAGCTGCGTAGCTCTCAAATTGTGATCTCCCTCCTTGCCTCCTTCAGTGTCGGTGACCGTCATTGACTTCTAGAACAGAAGAGACTAACATCTAACAAGTTCGCCACACTGTGACTATCCGTGAATTGATAAGCCTATTGAGCTATCAAATCAATTTCACTTGAAATTGCCCAGTCTCTCAGAAAACTCTCAGAATTGAGGCCGCCGAGGCCCCTGCAGTTTGCTCGCTTTGGCCACGATCTTCATGGTAAATTCCACGGAGTGCGTGGAATACTGCGACAGGCTGTTGGACAAGAACCTAAATTAAGCTCAGCTCTGCAATGGTCACTTGCACTATGATGTCGAGGGGGGAATTTTTCTGATTCCGCCGGTAAGGTACTGCGACAGCCGTCTCACACCAAAGGCTGCATCGAACAATGATCATGGCAAACAGCAACACGAGAGTGTAGATGGCATTGGACACTGGGCAGGATGTGTTCACTGGTGCTGGTTCTCACGCCAAGCCGCACCATGCTGGATACCAAGATGAACCTCGATTTCCCAGAACATGCTCGTTTACCGTACATGCCGAGGATCTATGCATTCATGGACCCGCATGAAACCACACCCCGTTTCCAATTCGCCTGGGGTTCCAGCCGAGAAGCATCCAGAACAAACAAACCCCCTCCTTGCGAATCTTCCCGGAACCCCCGCGCGGGACCTGCCTGGGACCAGCTTATGACCCACCCCGCTGCCGCTTTATCTTCTGCCTGAATTTCGCGAAACCCCCCCTTGAGACCTTCCCTTAGACAGGCCGAGGCGGCGCGCTCAAGCGTTTACAATTAGGTGCCTTGATGCCTGCACTCATGTCTCGCATCAGTTTAAATAATCTGATTGGAACTCGACATACCTCGATCCCTTTCCAAAGTGAGCCATGCCACGGCCACCACGAATCTTTGGCGGAAAGGGCACCAGGTGCTCGCACCAACGGCACCACTGTACACAGGCCAAACTGTGCTGCCACGCTCCAAAGCGTCACACCTCAATTCTTGCGTAACAAGGGTAGGTTTCGGCAGCGATGCTACACACGGGGCGGCCCTTTACTGTGTAGCAGTTGTGTGCACATTGCCAAGTCGTCCTGGCCAAGAGCAAGATTGAAAAGGAGGAAGTCGTGACAGTTCGGGAGGCTGTTGGGAGATGAGAAGGTGCCTCAAAGCTGTCCAGACCACTTGCAGCAACTTGCTGAACTTCCGCTGGTGATCGCTACATACCACTACAAAAAGAGAAGTGCGCAAGGGCATGCTGAGGTGTCCTGAAGCTGTCCTGAAGTCGCTCCGCAAACCTGAATGCAGATGCGGAGCTGCGTGGAACGTTGGGAAGCTTAACCTGACATCAGTCGAACAAAGCCCGAGCTTCGACAGTGCCAGTGCAGTGGGCACCCGACTCGACACCACGCACCCTGTCCAAGTTGCATCAAATTGACGCCTCCGAAGGCGTCTCTGTGTGCCCCTTCATTGCTTCCAGGCAACCAGTGCTTCGTTGAAGGCTTCGAAAGCCACGTGGCAAGAAAAGAAGCCGAGAACTCGGAGCCCAAGCCAGAGATCCATGACCGCAAGGAGTGCCACGACAGACCATGCATCAAAAGCTCATGCACAATGATATACAATGATGAACAATGCAAACTGCCCAGTGTCACAAGACTGTCACAAGACGTGGGCGCCATCGGGGACGCACATTCACAACCATGCCCAGGTCTCTGAGATCTTTGCAGAGACAACAGAATCAGTGAGACAACTCTTGCCAGCACATGCAGCTACTGTGGCAGCACGACTTCTCCACAGAGGCAGAAAGCGTCGTACAACTGTCAAACACTGCTGCAGCACACGAAGTCAGAAGGCACAGACCTGCTCGCAGTCTGATTCCCCCATCATCTCCTGGTCAAGTTGGCGGCAAGATGATGCAAGATGAGGCAAGTGTGGCGAGCCAGCAGAACACACGCTTTCGACTCAGCTTCAGCAACTATGGGCAGACCCAGCTGACTGACTTGTCACTGTATTATCTACAGCATGCCACCTGCGCCATAGTACACACTACAACTTGACCAAGTAATCGTGCCACGGCTGAGTTTTTGCAGGACGACATACATTCAAAGCTCATGAGACCATAGGCAAGGGCTTTGCCTTATCATGAATCTGGCACTACCGTTCCACCAGCCTTCATCTGGTCTGCCCACGGCTTCCACGGTCCTGCAATTGAATAGCGCGACCCGAAAATCGGAGTGCGACCCATGGCCGTGTCTGGTAAGCGATTGTTACGCCACTGACAAAGATGTTGCTTTCATGCACTGCCTTGCGCTGTGAACAAAGTCATCGATGGCCATTCTGCCTGCTGATAACAAAAGCAAAGCAGTCTCAGCTCCCACTGCAAACATCGCGTGGCATGCACTACCTGCACAATCAACGTCCTTCACAAGACAAGCCTGCCAAACGACCACAATGAACAACACCAGATTCCGCAAGACCTGCAAGCACATGCATGCGCAACAGAACGCAACCACACAGTCTGCTCAAAATGTGTTATGACCACTACAAGCATCAAAACAACTTTATACAAGGAACGTCGAACAGCTTGGGGGCTTTTGTTCTGTTTCTCGCAAGCTGTTTTACGATAGCCGGGTCGGGTTTGAACATGCTCTCGGCTAACCGCTCACTCACTCAGCGCAAAGAATATCCTCCCTCGTCCCATAGGAACCCCACGCAGTCATGACAATGAATCAAGAGCAAATGCGCCACGCCGGCATGCGTCCCGACCACTCCGACAGTTGCGAAAGTTGCGAAGCACGGTAAAGAGAAGGCGAAGACGTGACAAATTGGACGACTCGTGAATACTAGCAACAGATGCGAGCAACTGTGACAACCTGCACGTTGTTACAACTGGACAACAGCTGGCCCAGATTTGGGGGAGGCAGGGCTGGAAACTTTGGGTCTTGAGAGTCTTGAGCTTGGGGGACAACTCATGTCTCTCGAGCCTTGATCAAATCAATGTGACTCGCCATCGGCACGGCTCGTGAGCACCGCTCTGTTCCATGGAAGTGGTAGAGTCATCTTAAGGAAACGAGATGAAACTGGAAATTGGACCTGTAAGGCCGAATGTTGCTGCTCTCAGCCGAAGCCAACGACATCAGATCATGGAGGGTTTCTACTTTCCTGCTTTGCAAGAGGCCGACATCTTCCCCAAGATTTGCTCCTCAAACGCAGGACAGCCGGCCCATCAGCTTTTCACTCTCATGCATCCGATGTGCTCTCTAACTTGCTGCTTTGTAATTGTCGTGGTTTGAAGCTGCAGCGTTGCCGCAAATGCTCAAAAGCATGAACACATGCAAGACCGCATATCTATGCAACATGTTTCGGTGGAGCAACCCCTGCAAAGCAATCCTGGCTTTCTCACCTCGGCTGGCAATGCAGGGTGAAACTTTTCGAATGACCTCAGTCTCCGTACTTTTGCCGATACCTGACGAGGCCGGTGCGAAGTCCGCATCCTAAAGCAGGAGGTTGATATGAGTTGCTCTCGCACGAATCTGTCAGAGTCTTGATGACACATGCCGTTGCTGTAATTGTGACAGGTGCATGGGGGTTGACCTAGATGGTAGATTATTAGATGCATTTGGACAGGAGTGCTCCAACGAGGCACTTCGCCAGCATCGCATCTCGTTCTCGGCCGAGCCTGTCAAATTCCTGACAGCAAGCGGTATGTGGGCAGAGCACTTGACTATGAAGCTCATACATCATGCCGAGACATGCCGAGCATGCGGTCATTGGAACATATTGGAACAGATTGGAACCCTGCATGTCGCCAAAGCTCCGAGCAGAGCGAACTCTTCACGTTTTATGCACTAACATCGCTTGGCGCAACCAGCGTCCCTTCCTAGTTTTAACATCCACTCCCAGTGCACACACCATGCTGACTCTGGCACGTGGAGCCAATGCGCTATGCACGTCTGCTCAACGCGATGGCAAGAACAATGCAAATTCGGTCTCGCCCCACACAACTTTTCGCGAAGATGCTGCGAATATCTGTGAAAGCTTAGCAACCGAGAGCAAAGCATTGTTGGCCGAAGAGGCGCTGGGCCAAAAAAACACTTTTCGCATGTGATGAGTTGTGTGTTTTAATGTTATCCCGTCACAGTCAGTACATAGCGTGAGAATGTGTGAGACACCTACACGCACCTGAAGTGTGAACCGAGGTCGCGACCTCGAAGGCGCGTAGCGCGGCCAAAGCATTCTGTTGCTTCCGCCTTACCTCACAGCAAGCCCTGCTGTCAAGGATTCACTGAGAGGGTCCCAGACAAAGACAAAACTAGTACAATTGAAAAGAATGCTATTGCATCATTCATTGCCATTCACAATAGCCAACGGATGCTTGATCTAAACACATCTACGCTACACATGAAAGTCGAATGGTCGGACTGTGCCTCTGGATCATCATCCTGCGAAATTACGCAACTTGGGGCAAACACCATGAGGTGGCTTCAAACTCCTGCTGCGTATGCTTTGAAGGCAGCTGCCCTATACCCAGAGCATCGTGCCGTTGAAGTAAACTGGTTGTTTGGGTGCTCCTGCTGCAATCCCAACTCGGCCACACGATCAACCCGCTGCGACCCCAACGCAACATTAGCACAAGTTTGACATATAAGGTTCCGTATACCTACAAACACTTCTACTCCACCAACATGCACAAGCCTCCTCTGCATCAGCGTCCTTGGGCTCAGCAACGCACATTAAGGTACATGCTACCGTTTCTCATGGAATCTCGGCAAACAGTTTGGGGGACAAGCTTTCACTACGAACATGAAGTGGAAGTATTCACGGGCGCTCGGATTGGGGGCGAGCGGGCAGCGGAGGCAGCACAATCGGGCGGGAGTGGGAGGAGAATTTCTGAAATGTGCCGGAAGCTCAAGCTCTGGTGCCAAGTAGGCTTGTTGGGGAGCGTCATCACCCAGTCAACACCCCATGACGACCGCAAAGCCACGAGACGCGAAGCTTAAGCAACACCTCTGGTGCTCGAACCCATCCACGAACTTACGTACGAATCCGCGTACGAACCCATGCAGCGCGGAAGCGTCCATGCCTACATTACTGCACCAAAAAGGACGAGCAGGCACCACCACATCATCATCATCTTCATCATCATCATCATCATCATCATCATCATCAAATTCACCATCATCATCACCATCATCACCATCACGAAGGCGCATCTGGCTCAGAGCCCGAGATCGACAAACACTGGAAACCAGAACTGATCTAGTGAGGTTCTATCAGCACGGTCATCAACAAAATCGCGCTGGCCTTGCTGCTAGCTTCGGTCATGAGCTTTGGGACCCTCATCTCGAAAATCGAAAAAACGATTCTGGAGTCTAGGAACAATAGTATAGAGAGCGCACAGGAAAAACTTGTGGAGAAAGGCAAGAAAATATCGATTGCTTGTCGACACTGTTGCACGGAAGGCCACACAAAGGCAGGACCTTTAAACTCCCACAACAAAGCCTGCATGGACCCCTAGCCTCGACCAAACAGCAGGTTGGTCAAAGTCAGTACGACCCGTTTAAGGCTTCAGGTTCAGGAGTGTTTTGATGTTTTTTGAACCTCATGACTCATACGAAGCCAGGCAATGCACACATCCGAATCCTGTGGCTGTGTTGCGGGCATGTGCAAGCACCCATCCGAATTCGATATTGCTGCGTCGCCGGTATTTGCAAGACATGGCTGACTGGTTCTTGACTCCTGTCCTCTTTGTTTCCGACTCCGAGCTCCCTGAGTTCCTCTCTGCCTGGGGCTTCTTCCTGACTCATTCCTGCAATTTTTCCATGGTTTTCCACGGTTCCTGACCTTGACCGCGCCAGTGACAATACCAGTTTGACTGACTCGGCTGCAGCTGCTAACGGCTGCTAACGGAAAAGCTGTATGTGCTGTCAAGCTGCAGAAAGACTGTCCAAGTTGACCAGCGCTGGTTTCGCCAGCTCTGGCCTGGCTGAACTGGGGCACGCGACCTGACCTTTGCCCAGACACCCAAAAGCCAACTGAAGCTATAGACGTATATCTACAATGAAATCAGCACCTCGGTTACAACTGATTCGTTCGCAGCTCAAGAAAGTATGGTGTACGGACGAGAAGAACTGCACAACTACGGCCGATGATATAGGCTGCTCATACAGCATACGACTTCTGTGAGAATCAAGGAATAAGCCTGGGTGAACCTAGGAACAATGTCAGAATACAGCATCGGCAAAGGGCAAGGCAAAGGGACCGGCGAGGTGAGAAAGGGAGCAAAGGTCTGAGATTGGGCAAAGACATGGCGGGCCTTTCTGCGCCAGGCATTGTCCAGGTCAGGACTTGTGAGACATGCCAGCCTGTGGACTGCGGCACCTGTACGCACTTCTCCATACCAAGGATCGCGCATAGCCTGCACTAACTAGTTCGCTACGACAAAAAGCTGCACGCGAGTCCATGTATGTTCATGTATCAAGTCTTCAAACGTCAGACTCGTGTCCTTCAGAAACCAAGTGCGCACAGGCTGCGGGCTGAAGAATCCGCGGTTGAGGCCCAATGCACGATCAAAACACTTGATTGCTTCACTGCTTGCGGCGGGGTAACTCGCTTGCAAGCAATCCAAATCCAAAGGTCTTTCCATGCCCTATCGCTGAGCACAAGACACCAACCGCGGGAACTCGCGGGAACTGGCAAGAAGCGAAGGTCAGCATGCAAGGATGCAAACACCTCGACTTGGAAAATTCTGAAGCCGACGTGGCTGTTTTGTTTCTAGCCAAGAAAGATCACTGAAATGATGTTGATGATCGCTTTAAGGAGGGTCGAAGCATCATCACAAAACAGCTGTGTCTAGCGACAGCGAAAGCAACACGGCAAGATTACCTTGCTATATTGCTCGGGAATGCCAGGGAACATCTTTGATGCTTCACCTAGCAGCTCTGAAAAGGGATTGCAACGTGAGCCAATATGAAATATCATGGTAAGCCTTGGTGGAAGATGGCCGAAAAAGCAATGCATGGCATCCTTGATTTTTGGCAGGTTCGCTTTGCCCTACGACCCGAGCTGCGCAACCCCAGGTGCCCATTACACTGTCAATTGCACCCATTACACTGTCATATGCGGATCACTTTCTTCCGACTTGAGCGAGTATGCCTTCGCCATGAAGTCTGCAGCCTGAAGTGGGGCAAGGGCGTGTGTGGCCTGAAAGACTCTATGTTCCTGATACTGAAAGCTGCCTGTGCAAAGTCCATTGGTCCATGTCCAACAGTAACTTCCTGGAGCCTAGTAAGGCCTAGTAAGGCCTAGTAAGGCCTAGTAGCTGCCGCACGGTTCCGCAAAGTTGTTGAAGCCTTCACTGAAGGCTGTGGCAGAATGACTAAGAATGGCAGCAACTCTTTTCCTGCCAAGTTGTACCGTTATGCTGAGTTATACCGTTATACTCCATGCCAAGCCTGTGCTTGTTTGGCTCCGTGCATCGATTTCTGGAGATCGAAAATCTTCTGTATCTCGTTCCGAAGTTTAACCTCAGCAAAGCAGCAGCCAATCCGCACCAGTCTTCACTGCATGAGGACTGCAGAACCTTCGTAAACTCATGAACTACCCTCTGGACACGGAGGTACCTGACACTGACGTCGGATGGCATTTTGCGGACAAGCGGCTTGGCCTTGCTTAAGCGCGTAAAGGTCCTCAAGCGTGTGTGGCATATGCATGGTTCTGCAGCGATGTGACCATGGATGCTGCTTGTCCAACACCGGCGCCCTACGTTCAGTGTCTGAGACTCCACTGCCCTGGCCGGACCATGCAGCTGCACACACCGGTCCACAAATTCTTCCAAGCCTTTGTTCTTGTGAGAAAAATCGTTGACTCGCAACAACTTGGAAATGTAACTTACTGCTGGCACGAGCAAATTTTGCACTGTGCCAGGAGGGTAACTGTTTCAGTTTCAGGTTTCACCTTCACTGTCAGTTTCAATCCTATGAGTTTACGACCAGAGGGGGGTGGTGAGGTTTCAGCTTCAACAAAACCATCTTGAGACGACAATGAGGTCGTTGGGGTGGGGGTGGGGGGAGGTTTCAGTTTCAGTTTCGGATTAAGTAGGTGTTACATGGTTGCATGGCGGCCGTCCGACGCTGTAATCGTCTGGGAGGAGGATTCCAGCTTCAGCTTCGGGAGGTGGACCATGATGCGGTGGTCGGAGGAGCAGTGAGGGGAGGGGGGAGGTTTCGGTTTCAGTCTCAGTTGCCGGGTTAGCTTGGGCAAGTGTAGGGGCGGCGGGAGGTGTTTCAATCAGTTTCAGAAGTGTCCTTTTGGGGGGGCGGGGGGTGAAGGAGTAAGAGCAGATGCTAGATCTTTCTCGAGGGACAAGGGGGTGTTCAGTTTCAGTTCCAGCTGCGGCTTCAATCAGAGTTTTGTTTTGGACGAGTTCAGTTTTAGATTTAGTTTCAGTTTCAGTTATGGTTTCTGTTTGGGGGGCGGGGGTTCAGTTTGAACTTCGTCGGGTCCGCTATGACATGTCTGGATAAAGAATAAACAGATTGCGAATATTGCTCGCTCTGCGATGCAACTGCTGACACTTGCAGATGTACGCCATTCACGGAAATTCGACCTGGGAACTTATGGCCCCATCACCATCTGCATCCAAGCTCGCAAACAAGGTCCACGCATCAGACGCGTTCATTTCCAGCGATTCGAAGAACGCCCTGACCTTGACAGATACAGTACATGGACATACGTGGACTGGAAGAGTTTCTCATGCTGATGGCACATAGCATCACCGCGCATGAGGCGCAACGATCGGTCGTGCCAGCTCGTCGCCTTACACCCAATCCCTGTTGACTAAGTTGGGCGACCGCATCATCATCAAAGTGCTTCTCGAACTCGGAAATCGTAATTAAGCCGTTGTGCGCATCATCAATCCTGCACCGCAGATGCCAGCCATCAAGTGCATATGATGACTTCATGCATGCAGTGATACCGATCACTCCTCCAGAAAAGGTTCTTGACCAATGTCTTGAAATCCTTCTTGTTCTGTTGAAGAGCCTGAATGACCTCGATTCAAACGCCATGACTTTTGTGCGGGGGCGATAGTCTGTGGGAGTCTTTGGTAGGCACTCCGCGGACGCTCTGTGGGATTCTCTTGGCGGGGGACTCACGGGATACTCTGCAAGACTCCCTGTAAAATTTCCTTGGGGCAGCCGGGGATTCTGTAGGGAGGGTGGGCACTGCAGGGATACTGTAGCTGAATGCTATGCTGAGTCGCCATCTCGTGATCGCGCTCAGCAGCTTTGATTGCAGAGTTGCAAAATACACCAGTTAGCCTCAGTGGCGAACTAACTAACTAACTTTGTTCGGGTGCCGGCAGCCCCCAAATGGACAGGGCACCCCTGTTGCCCCATGCGGGCGCACAGGGCGAGTGTACTTCAGCAACAACAATGAGGTCAGCTAGCAAAAGCTGCCCCAAAACGAGCTGAAGCGACCAACAGACGACACAACAAGCACCACGATGCAACCCGACCAACAAGCCGGCAAGGAGCCCCAGCACAGGAACCAAGCGGCAAAAACGCCTACCCATGACGCCAAGCCAAGGGCAGGAAGCAACAGAACACAAGCAACGACCAACAAGCACCCGACAAGACAGGGACTAACTACGCCATCTGCTGTTCCATATTGCCTCGACAACATGGCCAAGAAAGGGCAGTATGGCTTTCACCTGATTCGCACTTCCCCAACCAAAGCGCTTCAGCAAGGGACAAGTGGGAGGGGTCGGTCTAACCAAGGGGCAGTGGGGACACTCCCAACAGAGATGAGCCCAACTGCCAAGCTGATCACACCACAAGCAACGGTCCGAAAACCTATCCGAACGGCCACTGTGGAACCACGCAGGGGACACCACAGCTCCCAACACGACAGTGCGACAAGCAGGATTTGCCATCAACGAACGCACCGTACTCCATGAGACGTTCAACAAGGTAGAGGCATCGACGTACTCGTGCACTTCATGGTGCTTCTTGACCAACAGTCGAGCCAGCACTTACGCAACTTGAGAAGCAATCGATCCAAACGACGACCACACCGAAGCGAAACCACGGCCGCCATCTCTTCCCAGTGACGCTCACGGAAATGGATTTTACACAAGGCTCACACAGGACTTGACACTGTCGCTTGAGATGTGTCGGCTGACACCGCCAAACAATACCTTCCAAATTTTCGCACCCTTGAAGAATGATGTGTCGGCTGACAATGCCAAGCAACGCCCTCAAAATCAAGCATCCAAACAACTTCATAACCTCAAAGAAGATCATCCTATAGGTGGACCCTCAGGCGGTCTATCATACCTTTGGCTGAGGACTATATTGGAAAATTCTTTTGAGCTCTGAAACGACTTCCGAAAGCAACTACAAGATGCTACAAGACCGCAGCAGAGCTGTCGTGCTGTCCTGCCAAGTAGCACGTTGACAAGCACCAGCGTAATGATGCAGATATAGAAATTGAAGATCCACACCCATATCATGCCCACAGGGGCCCTGACGAGGTGCATATAGAATCATGTTAAGGGCATGGTTCGTGTCACTGAAACAGGCCGGGGCACAGCTCCTCCGCAGCGTCACTCCAGTCAAGCCCATTTGACACTGAGCGAAACAGCGTCTGGATGGAATTCGCCACAGAGCCGAAAAACTTTGCTAGCTGAACATGGTCCGGAGCTTGATCCGGGGCGGCATTTTTCGTCTGGTCAAACATATAATCCAAAACAGCATCCGTAAAGAGAAGACCAAAGACATACATCATCAAAAACAGCAGGAGGAATGACCAAATAAAGGACTTGGTGGTGTCCACGAGGCAGTGCATCAGCGTCCTCAACGGCTTGACGTATTGAACCACTCGAAGCATGCGCATTACACGTGCCAGGCGGCTCACTTTCACCAGCCTCAAGAGTCGAAGGTTGCTGTTGGAAAGGCCCTCTGAACCTTCCACCTCCATCAAACCGACCAACAGCTCCACCCATGTGGAAGTCACCACAAAAACATCTAGCCAGTTCCATGCCCAACTGCTGGCAAAGAAATATGCTCTAGGTCCAAATGCCGTTAGCCTCAAGCCAACCTCCAACAAAAAGATCACCGCATAAAACATGTTGAGAACTGTGAAGGCAACCTCATTGTGAACTGCATCCTGTCCCTGAGATGCGGTAACTTCCAGCTGAACGCCCAAATATATAGAGTTGGTCAGGATCGCACAAGCGAAGAATAGCTCACAGAAGAGGGAGCCCACTATACGTGCGCACCATCTCTGCAAAGTGGGACAGATAGTTGCAGCTGTAGACGAGCTGGGCACTTTCAGGCTCGCCTCCGTGTGAAGCAGGGCCCATGCATGATTGTCCTCTCAAATTTCTTAAGAACCGAGGGTCAAAAATTGCAAAAATGTATGAAAAGGAACACACATCTCGAGTTCCAGGCCTCCTCAGTTTTGCTCTTGAAAAGTGTGTCGATCCGGCTACCTTGCTGCTTGGCCAGCGTGTAGCTGTCTAAACCGGTCGAACGGTCCACATCCTCGGCAATGAGGCTCTTGCTGCCGATATTTAGCGACTGCGGGAAGATCGTCTCATCGTCTGGGTCATCCCACAGGCTGCCATTGTTGCCGTGTTCATTTTCATTCACGATCACAGTATGCGGAAAGGGCTGTTGCAGTCGACCCTCGAGTTTCTTTATGAACTCCTCAAGCCGCACAAGGAGGATCTCATGCTGGTTCTGCAATTCCTGCACCACATGATGGAAGTCCACTAGCTCCTTACCTCTTCTTGCCTGGCACAAGGTGCCCTGGCCCCTAAAGTTTACTTACGCCATCTCGTTGACTTCTTCGCTTTGCCTTTCGTAAAAGCAACCTTAATCATTGGCACAACACAGAGAGGGAAAGGAAAACCCAAGCCTCACAAAACAAGCACACAAAGAAGGACAAAACGTAAGACACGTCAAAGCCGGCTTTCACCCGAAGATAACAAGGACTTGATATGTTGGACTCTTACCCCTCTGGCTCTGCTTCTGGATTTGTCGGAGTGTGGCTCCTGCAGAAGTGTTGGGTCCGCTGCTGTAAGCTCGTCGGCGCGCTGCACTCCGGCTGTGGCTGCTGCGTGCCCCCGTCTTGTGCGCAGGTTTGTCTTAATCTGCTCTGGAAGGGCTTCCTGGTCGTTCTCTTTCTCGCTCTCTGTCTCGATCTCTCTCTCTCGCCTTTTTCTTCATTCTTCTTCGTCGTCTTCTGCGGGGCTTGAGGGAAGGGGCCCGCCTCTCCACCTCTGCTCTTCTTCTTCTTCTTCTTCTTCTTCTTCTTCTTCTTCTTCTTCTTCTTCTTCTTCTTCTTCTTCTTCTTCTTCTTCTTCTTCTTCTTCTTCTTCTTCTTCTTCGGGGCTTGAGGAAGGAACCCCTAAGGGCCCCCCGCGCACCCAAACTGTGCGGATTCCCCCTACCCAACCACCGACCCTTAATTAGAGTGCACACCGCGAGGGATCCCACTGGTGCCAGTTCGGTATCCTTCTGTTGCCCCCGCCGGTGAGACTGGCGGGCTTGTAATCCATGCTGAGGCCTTGTCGACCCTTAGTATCCCGTACGCGCTAAATGGTGTTGCCCCGGCTCTAAGGCTCCTAAATAGCGCCTTATGAAGCAACTTCCTGCCTAACAGCTTGGCAGCGCAGGGCTGCGGGACATGTTCGCTGTCATCAGTACAAGTGACTGCAAGCACAATGCACACAGAGCAGCTTCCCTGCCTGGCGCACAGTCTCCAACGCCAGCTCTGTCATTGGCTACAACGAATGGAGGCAACGAGGTGAGTGTATGGATCCCCGTGTCGCAGAGTTGGATGTTTCATTCCGACTAGAAACCTTGAAAAATTGTGGGTACCTAAAAAGCTCAGGCAGTAGTCTTCTGCTGCTTCCATTTCAATTAGACATGGTGAGAACATACCTTTGAGCCACTAGAGTTACTAAATCAAGTCGGTCGCTCGCTGCGCAGGAACAGCAGCTCGGCTTCACTGGGGGACCCTCTCTTCGAGTTCCATGTCATCATGAAGAGAAAACCGACTGCCTCTCTTTGAATGTTGTGCTGTGCTGAATCCGAAAATACACGGAGAGAAGGGGTACAGCTGAATCTCCAAGATTAAGAATCACGGGCGAAAGCAAACAAGTGTTGTGACCCCCAAGACCCTCTCCGGGGAGCACTGCTTGGCAGGTACTCCCGTACTCCTCCTGTAATGAGAGCAATATATTTGTCTGGCGAGGTGAAACCAACTTCATCTACAGGTTCCATCAGGTTCCATCGTCATGTAGTTTCACATGAAAAGCTGCGTTCTATGCAAATCCTCCGACTGCAAAAGCACCCCGCCCTATCAATACCTCCCTGAAACTGCCGTGTGAACAAATCCCATTCGTGGTATAGCTTAGCAAGCTGAGATTTTCCCAGCAAAATATGAGGCCAAGATCATTGTGGTGCTTGCGCACAAGTGCATCTTCGCAAGCGGCTGCATTGACCACAGAAGACGGCCACTTCAACCAGTCTGACGTGGCCTTTGCAGTTCCGAATACTTTTGTGAATGCATTTGTTGGGAAGCTGATGACCTGGACAAGCTACCCTACGCTGTGATGCTTCTGCATCACGGGCTTGTGCTTCAATGCTCATGTGTTTGGGTTGGAGATGGCATGAAAATCTGCCAGGGCTTCAGGCATAAGGCCTTAACAGTCGTAAGGCCTTTGGCTTGCAAAGGTGATCAATGGGCAGAGAGCCAGATGCAACCAAAAGGCAAGGAAACGCTGTTTTCCAGATCTACAGAAAGAAGCAGCAGCGCTGCACACTTCCAACATGCGGCGAGCGCGACTCGAAATGAGCAGTAAACCGCAAACCCATGTACTGTCATGTAACCCCAGGTGTTCTGCGAGCAAAGGGGGGCAGAGGAGCTTGCCCATTTCATGCACGTGCATCTCAAGAGCAACGTTTCGAACTTTCCTCCCAACGCAGTAACGTGCTGCGTCGTGTTGTTTCCATGACCTGTCGGGGCCTGAAGACTGTGGTAAAATTGGGAGCCGTAAAGTTTCTTTGAAACTTCTCAGCTTTCAGCCATGGGAATATCGTGGGCATTGACGCATGCTGTGCCTTGTAATAGGAAGCCTGCCTGCGGCGGTGAAACCACAAGCTGCATGAGGACTCGCAGCACGGTAATCACTTCTTGCAAATTTGCTTGACGTGAAGATCTTGGTTTGGCTTCCAGGAAGAAGAATGTTGAAGGTCCCGGCGGTTGAAAAGGCCACGATACGGCAACATACGGCAACAAACGGCAACATACGGCAACATACGGCAACATGAGAAAAGGGCAAGGATCGAGAAAGGTCAGAGAGCTCACAGTGACTAAAAAAAACGAAGAAACAAGTTTCCTGGGTGCCTGGTCGCGGCATCATACCCGACAATCGGTCGAATCCGCTTCTGCAAACTCTGATAACGTCGACTGCAGGTCCTCAAGCTTGGTCCCGTATGACCCTGTTTACGCTCTGTGTACATAATTTGCATACAATATCATACCATCATGATCATTCATGAGCCTTCTCGTTTCCACAATTTTTCACACCCCGGACCTTCATGCTCTTGCTCGTTGCGGTTGCCAGGCCCACGCGAGGGCGCGAACGGACATGACGATCAATCTGAATCTGGAGGTCTTCCTGAATGCAAGTTGCGAACAGTCACAACGCGCTGTGAAAACAAGAACATGGCCGAAACGGGCAGAGGATCTAAAAACCACATTCCTCTTAAATCAAAAGTCTAGGTTCAACCACTTTGAAACGAAAGAAATAACCCTGGGTGAGGTTTGCTGATGGTTGAAGTGCACCTTTCGAACTTGACGCCCAGGCTCAATGGTTTGCATCTGCTGCCGAAGCTTTACCTCGATTGCAAATCGTGCTGACCCACTCGGCCCCAGCAAGCGAACAGCCTTAACAACCATTATCAACCATTCGTTTAAAGCGTGGATAGTGAGAGCCGTCCACGGCCGCACATCAGCAACCACTTGAGGTCAGTATGCCCAGTCCTGCACCAATTTTCGGCACGTTTTCTGAAACAAAGCAAGCAGCATTCTGCTGCGTGAGCGCATACAGATCGACAGATCTGGCAGGACCATGCAACTGAATGCATCGCTCGGTGAAATCCCGCAGGCTGATGACATTGTCTCCATCGGCATCCAAGCTTGCAAACAATGTCCAAGCGTCAACAGCGCCCATCTCCAACGATTCAAAAAAGGCCCGCACGGCTTCGTCATTAAAATGCCGCTCAAACTCAGAAATGGTGATCATCCCAAGCCCCAAATCGTCGATCTTTTGGAAAAGATTGGCAACCAGCTCTTTGAACTCCTTCCTGCTTTTCAATAGTGAATGGATGACCATCTCGTGATCGCGCTCAGCAGCTTTAATTGCCGAGTTACAAAACACGCCAGTCATCACCTTGCCGGCAAAACTTTTGTGGTGCAAATATCCCAAAACAGGCAAAGCACAAGCGGAGGCCAACTGAAACACCTACGTAAACTCGTCACCTCATCACCTGGCGGCCGCAAAGAAAGCATTCGGTACGCACCATCGAAGACAGAGGCTTGAAAAGCGTCAACAGTCCCCAAATGGACAAGACGCGAGGAGCGCGCTCATCGCTCAGTGGACAGGAAAAACCGCTTGGACAGAGTACTCTTACCACATATTCCATGGAGTAATGAAACGCAGAACTGCGCGTCCATACATCTACCTACATGGTTTTGCTTTCGTGCCAACAGCCCCCAAATGGACAGGCATCATTCATATATATAGATATATACATGCACACAAATCCAAATACAAATAAGGTATATATGTACATATACCTCCAGCACAGGCAGCCTGATGGACAAAGCATCTCCGCAAGCCATTGAAGGAAGGGAAACAAGAAATAGTATGCTGACCACGCCAACGATAAAAACATGCTATCCTTCGACAAGCGAAATTGCACGCAACAAAAAAGGTAGACTGGTCCTGTCCGAGTTGCATTCAACACAGCAAAACTTATGAATGCTATATAAAAATTGAACAGTTGGGCCCACAAAGGGTCAATTCTCGCGAGGCTGTCCGCCGCAGTGGCCCAATCCATGCCATTCGAGATTGAGCGGAACAGCGTTGAAATGGAAGCAGGCCTCGTGGAACACAAAAATACTCACATGTGGCTGCAAGGAAACTCAGCGCTCAAGAGCAGATCGTGGGCCAAGATGCACAGTTCCGAAAAAGACATCAAGATCCATGCTTCCACTTCGCGAAGGATTCCGCAGGTAATCAATGGCCGCATCTGTGAAGAGGAGACCGAACACGTACATCATGAGCAGTAGAAGCCTTGGCGAAACAAAAAGGCAACATGAAGCAGAGAGTAAGAAACGCTACACAGAAGCACAAGAATGTGCAGCGGCTGAGACTCGCCCGCCTGAGGCAACTTGTGTCCAAACAGCCAAGGAGCATCAGTGACCAAACGAATGATTTGGTCGTATCCACCAAGCCTAAGCAACTGCTCGCGCAGTGCTTGGTTACAAAAAACTTACAAAAACTGTTGTCATTCTGCATCGCTCGCATCATCACACAGACAGGGAGGGAGAGAAAGAGAGAGAGAGAGAGAGAGAGAAAGAGTTCCCTAAGTCTTGTCAGTAAATCCTGAAGACCGGGATCCATAAGTCTTATTCCCTAAATTGTTTCCTTAATGTCAGTCAAATCCAAAAAAAGAGGGGTAATTCCGATAAAAAACGACGCCTTAAGTTTAGGATTTAGCGCATAACCTATCAAGAGTTGTTAAAACTCCTGTTTATTAGGATCTAGGGATCCCCCATGCAAATCTCCTTCACAGGGGGAGGGGGGGGGGGCTTGTTGCCCCCCCACCCCCCCACCCACCCAAAAAACAAATAGAACTGCTTTCTTTGGCACCGCCCCTCCCCCCCCCCCGAGCTATCTCCTATTTTGGTCTCTTACACAGGTGTATGTGATTTGGGGGGGTGGGAGGTGGGAGGGGGAGGGGGTGGTCATTCAGGGGGGCTGGTTAGATTCATTTTCAATCGGTCCCCGGTTTGAAGATTGCAGAATGAAGATTCCCTCTGCTCAATAGCAAGAAGGTGCAACAAGCGGAAAAGGCATGAAATTGGTAGGTACCGAAGGGGGGGTAGCATATGAATGTCTAAACATGTAAGCAAATACAACATGGTCGCCCCCCCCCCCCACCCACCCCATGATCTACCGGGACATGTTTTCCTCCTAAGACCCTCTTAAAACCTGAGCAAAAACCATGCATGCATACCCTAAAATTTCCTTTGCATACCAAGTCCTTTTTCTTGTAGTTGATTCTCCGACGACGTACAAAGAAACCAAAAAACACAAAACAAAAAAAAGAAAAACTATGGAGGCCGGGAGGCCATTGTGTTGAGCTTTTGGTTTTCTCGAGGTTTTTGGTGTTTTTTTGGTCAAAACCCAAAAAAACACGTGTTTTTTTGGTTTTCGAATCTGAGGGCGTCGGAAAACCAACAACACACTGGGTTTTTTGGTTTTCGGATGAAAAACCAAAGCCCATGTGCTTTTTGGGTTTTTGCCTTCCCTCGGACTCGAAAACCAAAAAAATTTTTTTGGTTTTGACAAAAAATGCAGAAAAAAGTCCAAAAGAACTGCCTGATGGGCTCCATGGTGTTTTGTTTTTTGTTTTTTTGGTTAATTGGTTACTTGGTTTTTTAGTTTTTCTGGTTTTTTGTTTCTTGGGCGTTTTGCTATTTTGGTTTTTTGGGATTTTGTTTTTTTTGTCATTTTTGGGTTTTTTGGTTTTTTGGTTTTTTGGTTTTTTGGTTTTTTGGTTTTTTGGTTTTTTGGTTTTTTGGTTTTTTGGTTTTTTGGTCTTTTGGTCTTTTGGTCTTTTTGGTTTTGGGCTTTTTGTTTTTTTTTGGTTTTTTGGTTTTTTTGTTCTTTGGTTCTTTGGTTCTTTGGTTCTTCGGCTCTTCGGTTCTTCAGTTTTTTCGGTTTTTCGGGTTTTCGGTTTTTTTCGGTTTTTTTCCGGTTTTTCGGTGTTTCGGTGTTTCAGTTTTCAGTTTTTCGGTTTTTCGGTTTGTCGGTTTTTCGGTTTTTCGGTTTTTCGGCTTTTGGTTTTTGGTTTTTTTTCTGGTTTTTTGGTTTTGTGGTTTTTTTTGGGTGTGTTTGGCTGTTTGGCTTTTTGGCTTTTTGGCTTTTTGGCTTTTTGGCTTTTTGGCTTTTTGGCTTTTTGGCTTTTTTGGTTTTTTGGTTTTTTGGTGTTTTGGTTTTTTGGCTTTTTTGTTTTTTGGTTTTTTGATTTTTTTGGGTTTTTTGGGTTTTTTGGCTTTTTGGGATTTTGGGTTTGTTATTTTTCGGTTTTTGGTTTTTTGGCTTTTTGGTTTTTGTTTTTTTTTGTTTTTTGTTTTTGTTTTTTTTTATTTTTTGGTTTTGTGGTTTTTTGGGCTTTTTGGCTTTTTGGCTTTTTGGCTTTTTGGTTTTTTTTTGGTTTTTTTGGTTTTTTGGTTTTTTGGTGTTTTGGTGTCTTGGTTTTTTGGCTTTTTTTGTTTTTTGGGTTTTTTATTTTTTGGTTTTTTGGCCTTTTTTATTTTTTGGCTTTTTGGTTTTGTATTTTTTTGGCTTTTTGGTGTTTTGGATTTTTGGCTCTTTTGTTTTTGTTTTTTTTGGCTTTTTGGTTTTTGGGGTTTTCATTTTTTGGGGTTTTTGGGTTTTTTATTTTTTCGGTTTTTGGTTTTTTGGCTTTTTGGTTTTTGGATTTTTTGGTTTTTTGGTTTTGTGGTTTTTGGGTTTTTTTGGTTTTGGGGTTTTTTGGTTTTTTGTGTTTTTCGGTTTTTTTGTGTGTTTTTTTGTTGTTTTTGTTGTTTTTGGTTTTTTGGTTTTTTGGCTTTTTGGTTTTTTGGTTTTTTGGTTTTTTGGTTTTTTGGCTTTTTGGTTTTTTGGTGTTTTGGTGTTTTGGTTTTTGGGTTTTTGGGTTTTTGGCTTTTTGGGTTTTTGGGTTTTTGGGTTTTTGGGTTTTTGGGTTTTTGGGTTTTTGGGTTTTTGGGTTTTTGGTTTTTTGTTTTTTTGGTTTTTTGGTTTTGTGGTTTTTTTGGGTTTTTTTTGCTTTTTTTGTTGTTTTTGTTTTTTTTTGGCTTTTTGGTCTATTGGTTTTTTGGTTTTGTGGTTTTTTGGTTTTGTTTTTTTTTGTTTTTTTGATATTTTTGTTGTTTTTTTTGCTTTTTGATTTTTTGTGGTTTTTTGGTATTTTGGTTTGGCATTTTTTTGGTTTTTGGGTGTTTTGTTTTTGTGTTGTTTGGTGTTTTTTGGATTTTTTGGTCTTTTTTGTTTTTTGGTTTTTTTGGCTGTTTGGCTGTTTGGTTTTTTGTTTTTTTTGGCTTCTTGGATTTTTTTGGTTCTTTGGTTTTTGGGTTTTTGGGTTTTTGGGTTTTTGATTTTTTGTTTTTTTGATTTTTTGGTTTTTTGGTTTTTTGGTTTTTGTGGTTTTTTGGTTTTTTGGTTTTTGTGGTTTTTTGGCTCTTTGGTTTTTTTGTTTTTTGGCTTTTTGGTTTTTGCTTTTTTGGTGGCGCTTTCCTTGGCGTTTGTTCGAATGCCAGACGAGCCCGGCTGGTGAAGTCCTGCCACGTTGAAGGATCACCGTCCCATGCGCAGCGAAGCGACGAAAATCGTCGTGGCCATCTGAAGTCATCGTCCTGGCGAAGGTAATGGAGGAAGGCAAGGGTCCTCACGTTCTGCCTGCCGGATCACCCTGAGGGATCCGCCTCCAGGAGGAAGATGATGGTCTTCGCGAGGTACTTGCCGGATCACCCTGAGGTATCCGCCTCCAGGAGCAAGGCCAAGTAGGCAAGGTCGCCCTTCACGAATTCGAGCCTAGAGGCTTGGAGCCGTCCACAAGACTTGTCCCAGCGAATCGTGTTCCGCTACCAATCTCAAGGATTTGGTAGCTTCTGATGCAATGCAATCAATCAGCGGATGGGGCTCTGTTTTCTCAGCTCGTCACGAGCTCCTCTGAAAGCGTTCCCTTTGGACTCGGGCTCCGATGCCTTCCAGGCACGACTCTTCCTTCAAGGAATCTATGGCAGTAGCCTAAGAAAAAGGCCAAAGATGCATCTAGCCCAAGCCGAAATGTTGCAGCGAATGAACAGTTGCCTGGCAAGCGAACTCTCGGAGGCCACTCACTTCTCATGGCATGATTCTTGACACCCACACCCCCCCTCCATGCCACAGATCAACTAAGATGGTACCTTGCAAAAATCTGCGAATCTGCGAACCTGTGTTTCTCGAGGACGCAGTATTTGAAATCTGCATATGCCTAAACCTCAAGCCGACATTCCCAAACTTTATGTGCCTATAAACCTAAGGTCTGGGGATTTCTACTTTCAGCGCCCAAGGGTTAACACCATGCGACCTTTTATAACACTATAGGTGTTAGGGTTCTAACCCTAAAGGGTTTAGGGTTTAGCTTGACATGCCTAACCTTGAACTATGGGCTCAGGTTTAAATGCATTAATCTTGACCATGAACCTTTAAACCTTAACCCTATAGGGTTTAAAGGTTGAGGCTTAGGTTGAATTGCCGGCTTAAGTTTCAATGCCTAATTTTAAAGCTGCAGGGTTTAAAAGATCAGGGTTTGGGTTTAAGTTCCGGCTTAGGTTTTAGTCCTTACCTCTTAAACCCTAAGTCTTTAAACCTTAAACCTGCAGGGTTTAAAGGTCAGAGGTTTAGGCCTACTTCAAAGGTGTAGGGTTTATGGCTAACCTTAAACCCTGTAGGCTTTCAGGATTCAGAACCCTTAGACCTTACACTTGAAAAAAAACAAACAAACTCATAGGGCTTTAAAGGTTTTAATGACTAAACCTAAGGATTAGATTTCTGGACTTCATGTGCCTTTAAACCTAAGGTCTGGGGATTTCTGCTTTCAGAGCCTATACGATTAAGACCTTGAACGGATCCTCCAAGTTGACGACACGACTGGCTAGCACTGCCACATGCATAGGAATGCCTAAGCCTTAAACCCTTAAGGTCTAAACTCTATGGGCTTAGGCTTAAATACATTAATCTTGAGCCATTTACCTTCAAACCTTAGCCTTAACCCTATAAACCTTAAAGGTTAAGGCTTAGTTTCAAGCTTGATTCGTGCCCAAGAGATTCAGCATGTTGAATCAATCCTCCAGGGGCACGACACGAATAGCTAGAACTGCTAAAGTCAGGCACCATGTTGAAGCTTGTCATATGAAACATGGATGCTCCCTGAGTTTTCTTAAACGTGGGTTGTTGGGGGGGGTAGCATATATATATATGCAAGAAAATATGAATATGAACATGTTAACAACTAGTAAATAAGAATAAAGGTATAGAACTTACCAAATTTGTAAGTATACAGTTATCTATCTAAGAATTGCAAGAACCAACTTAACAACATATGAACGTGCAAATATCTAAGATGCAGGCACATAAAAAATGAGAAAAAGGTGTATATACACACTATATACATATGATATACACAATTATATGACTATAAACATATTCATGCTGGACACATTCTTCGCACTCGCTTAACGTCGGCACGGGTTACCCCAACAAGGCGCGGACCCCATGTGGGGATTACACTGATTACACCTCGTGATTCTAGATAGAAGCTAACGGTGCCAACGCTTTGGGTAGGTAACCCTAGCCTCGGAGTGAAACAATCACGACATGAAGATGCAGGCCGTGCAAAAACTTTTCGCACGCGCCCTTAGTACATGCTCCCTTCCACCCACCGCGGAACCTGACCTCATCAAGGAACGCAATAAGAACGGCTCACATCCGGTCGCCTTCTCCCTTCCCGAAACCTATGAAATGGTCATGCTGCTTAGGTCGAGGTGCAGTGCATCAGTGTCCGCAGAGGTCGCACATACTGAACAACGCGCAGGACTCGAAGGACACGTGCAAGTCTTGAGACCTGTTTGCTAGCGATTGGCTTGCGCCAAGTCTATTCGTGCATCAAGTTTACTACCCCGCTCACCCTAAGGGTACGCAGATGGCATGACGAAAGCCTTGATCACACGGAGCAACCGAAGGTTGCTGTTTGACAGACCACCGTCGTTTCCATCAACTTCGACAAAGCCGACAACCAGCTCCACCCAAGTCGACGTCCTTAGGATACAGATGTGTGGCAGCTCGCATATTCACTTGGTTCTGCGTGTTCATGCTCATCCTCGGCCCGTTGACGAGACTTCAAGCATCAAGGGAACACAACCCTGCTTCGCTCACAGCCCGGGGGCCCTTGTGTAGGCCCTCCCTTCTCCTACTCCTCGTCTTGTGGCCCTGGCCGTGTGAATCCCCGTCCTCAAGCAGAAACTTCTTTCAACACGACATTGCCCGGACAGGAGGGGCATGAAACCCAAAAAGCAGGAGCTACTCATTCATTCGGCTGCCGGAGCAGCAGTAGGCATGTAACCCGACCTGGGGAGTGACCGTGGGCCACAGCCCCATTAGATCACAAAATGATCCATATGACTCAAATGATCAAACGACCCAGGTCCATCGGAAAAGCTGCCGTGTGAACGCGTGTGTACGATGGATGCATCTAAGCGTCACAACAAAGACGTCGAGCCAGTTCCATGACCAGCCAGAAGCCAGAAAGTACTCCTTAAAGCCACTGGCCACCAAACGCAGACAAACCTGCAAGCTAGGGCGGAGAAAAAAGACTATTGAAGATCAGAGCAAATTTTGTGCCACGACAACCGTGTGACCCCGTGACTATCGACACCGCGCCTCTCGCGGTTTGAGGCATCACAAGTGAGTTGGAGGAGGGTTGCTGTAGGTCTGGCTTAGGTTTGGCCGAGATTGTTTTGCGGCAAGCTGTTGGGAACTTCAATGTGGTTCAGTTTGCATGAATCTATTGGGCAATTCCAAATTGCAGGGTCCTGTTTTGCGGCAAGCTATTCGGGAATGTCACTTTGGGCGCCCGCAGACAAGCCCGCAAGAGTCCATCGGAGTGCCCACCCTCAGAGACTTTCGCACAGAGTCCCACGAGACAAGCTTGCGGCGAAGTATCCATAGTATCCAGAATGATCCGTCTGAAAACAGCAGGACGGCTTCCCACATCAGGCTGTCGGGAGGGGAATGTGGGGATGATCGAAGTAAATAAGGCAGTCGTTTCTCTCGAAAGCATTGCGAAGTGTTGTTCCACGGACTGCATTGGATGACTTTTGGACGCTACTGGATGGCTGACAAGTGCTCGAATTTCCTTGGAACTTTCAGCCTTTCAGCTGTCGTTTTCGAACAGGAGTCGAGGCCGTCAGGAGATCCGGCCACTTCGCTCGCGGAACGTTTTCCCCTCGTTTTCCTTCGAGAATATGCATTTTCGCTTCGGTTCACGTGCACGCGAAAAGTGTCGTCGTCGGCATCCTCGGGACTCGAAACTCGCATCGTTTTGGATTGCACTAAGGGGCGTGTCACTCACTTGTGACTGCGGTTTTGCTCGCTTGCGACTATCTTTCTGGCTCCGTACTCAAAGCTCTCACTTTGCGAACAGTTCTAGTTGTGCTCGTCATCATCCCCTGGCGCAAGGTCACAGGCTCGGAGCTCACAGAGCTTTTGGTCGCAGAACTTCGCGAGAGACCCTGGGTTCCGGATGAGAATTGGTCCTCACATGTCCTCACTGGCTCGCGGAGATTTGGGCCAGTGCAACTAAAGTACTTTTGTTGGTCACCCTGGGCTTTCAGCCCCCCGAACCCTAAACCCTACCCCCCCCACCGCCCCCCACCAAAAAACAAAAAGCTCACTCTTCGGACCAGGTCTGCTTTTCCCGACCAGACATTGAGCTTGGGCCTTGGTATACAAATACGCGCCGCGTCGGCGTTCCTTTCTTTCGACTATATTGGCTGCACGACACACAAGCGACGTCTCTCATGTCTGCCAGGAGCGAGGAGCTAGTGTTGACACTTCTACAAAGAAAGTGGAGGCGTGTTAACATGTGCTAACGAAAGTGCTTTTTTTGTGCTCCCGAGCCATATGTGAGCCTCGACGAGGAAGACGATGGCGTAGGCAATGTTGAGAACGAGAAACACATCCTGCTGCTCAGCCGTCCTCGGTCCAAGACCACAAGACCTTACCTGACAAACTGTAGCCGCCACAACGCTCAGACAGAAGAACGCAAGACAGACAACGACCCCGTCCTGTCTCTGTTCTGGGAGCTCCATTCCAGCTGAATGCCAAGATAGGCAGAGTTGCTGACAATCATCAGCGCGAAGAAAATTTCGCAAAAAGCCGACTTCACGATCCTTGCACACCATTTCCGCACGATGCCCCACTGCGTGGGTTGCTCCTCCGACTTGGCCAAGCTCGCCTTCGGAAGTCCCTTTTTTGTGCAGCTTTTTGAGGAGATGTGGCAACACATGGCAATACATTCACTTTGACAGATTCTGACAGCAAAGCCACGCCAAACCCCAAGGCTTGGCTCTTAGTTCCAACTGATGCCAACCCCAGGAAGGAGAAGGCCACCCCCGAAATTATTTGAAGGATGCTTGAGAGACATGCCTGTGCTACACCTCCTTGTGTTTTCTGCTTGGTTTGCTGTTTGTATGTGTCCTGTGCATCTCCCCTCCGCTGCTTCCATCTTCTTCCTGTTCTGCTGTGCACAATTTTTCCACTGCCTCCTCAGATTTCATCTTCTTGAACTTGTCCACCTTCGAACCCTGGCGCCGAGCCAAATCATAGCTGTCCAGACCTTCTTCACCCTCCTGCACGGTCCGCACAAACAAAGCTCGAACTGTCGAACATGTTTCGGGCGTTGCCCCGCCTGCTTGGATCTAAAAGTCTTGCTCCGCGAGAGCTGCCGGGGCAACCTCGCAGACAAGGAATTGCCAGCATACCCGTGCTCTCTTACAAGTTCATACTACAAACAGAACGTGCTCAAGAAGAGCACAAGTACTACAAGCCCCAGGGCAAGCACCAAAAAAGGTGTCATGCTCAACCTGAATCTGACCGTCTCCTTGCACCACGCTACTCTTTTGGAAGCTCTTCAGTGGCAGAGCGCGACAGAGTGCCATTGGACACCTGTAAAGTCACTGCTGGCTCGGTCCTGGCAATTGTCATACACTGCTATAGGTTGTGCTGACACAAGCGATGAAGTGAACACGTTCTGCGAGCAGAACGAGCAGACAGCTGATCATGATGTTCTAGGGAGCTTAGATACGCAACGGAATCTTCAGAACAGCCATGTCGAGCAAGAAGCATGACAAAAACCTCGAAACCAAAGCGCAATCTGCACATCCTTGATATTGTCGTGCTGGCTGTTTGAAGCCACTCATCCAGGCGCGCCAACCTTGTGTGATGCCATCTGCAAGGCTGGAAACATGACAACATACCACCCATCATTGCCATCATTGACAGCTGAATGCAATTGACCAAACATCTCCATCAGAACTAAGAGTCAGTTCCGCATGCTGCACCTCAAGGACCTCCGGGTCACTCAACATGTATAGGTGGGGACTGCCTTGACTGAGGCTGTGTGCACTCTGGAATCCCTTTCCCAATGCTGTGCTCAAGGATGCTGACCTGGATCGGCTCTGCGCAGACATTTCGCAGATGAGCTTCGCAGCTACTGAAACTCCGCCTCCCTGTAAAAACCCCTACATGTAGCTACTTCTAGCCGGGCACATGTGGCCCCTTACGCAAAAACTTTCCGGGCACAACTCACATCGTAATTGTTTAAGCTAGTGGCGTTGCACCTGCATGGGTTTGCCCTACACTAAGGCCACTCGGCTTCTTCTTCTTCTTGTTCCAAACTACTGTACTTGACAAGAAATAGCAGCACTGCCAACGTTCCTACAGAGTTCCGGCCATCGTTGCGAACAGTCTGGCTGTGTGCCAGAACCCCTGTTGTCGCGGACCGCGCACGCACACATCTGCTACAGACCTCTGTAACGCCTATCTTGATACAGACCTTTGTCGCGCGTGCATACACGACTGGAGGAAGCCATAATCGGGGCTTGAAAACAAGACAACAAGCAGGTCTGTCGCAAAACCCCGGACATTGATACATACCCTATGTAACGGGGTATGTCGCGTGTGTGGGCCCCGGCCCTATTACAAGCAATCAATATTGGCGCGCGGCCTGGTAAAAGCGCGAAACCACGAAACACAACAACCCATCCACGAAGATTCACTGTATAGCAATCCATAACTATTTTGTACTTGGGTCCAAAATCAAGTCCAAGAACATAAACAGGCGGTACGGCATTGCGAGGACGAGCAGCAAAAAAACGAAACGATGTTCCAGACCGACTGCACGTAACCTAGTCCACGCAACGATTGGCCGTTGTCCGGAGTGCCAGATCCACTCCTATCCACACTGTTGCTGTCGATGTTTTCTGCTGCCCGGCAAGCTTTCATTGAATGCAGTAGCCCGCCTTGTACAACCGTTCAGGCAGAGGATCTTCAGCGTCTATGCATGGAACAACTGCCGGCGTTGGCATTGCTTGTAACGTTACTGGAAGTAAATGCTAGATATCTCGGCATAGGTTTTCTTTGTGCAGACAACATACCGACAACATGATACACTTTCTGACCGTGACCTGCCGTGATCCTCATTACTCAATCATGCTGTGGAAGTCTGCTTGCAGTTGAGCCCAGTCGACGCAATGTACAAATGCCGGCTACAAGAATAGCATTAGGCTCGGTACATAGCTCCAACATATTGCGGCTGCTTTCGAAGTCAAGCCGTCTCATCACGGCAAATCATTGACTTCAAAACCCTTGACCCCAACCTGCCCCATCAAGGTAGATCATGTAGATACGCGAAACCCTCTCAAGTCTTGAGAGCTCACGCGTGCATTACGAGTGAGGTTGGTGGTATCATGGATGATCACTGCGCGCCAAAGCACGTTGCATCAGATCTGGCCCACAATAAAAAACCGGAATACTGAGACCGCAGCTGCATGGTCCCTATGCCGGGAGCTTGCCTTTCGTCCTCGAGTTGCATCTGCTGCCCAAACAATAATCATCTTTGCGATGTTCTCAGATGAAACTTACAAGACCCATCGTATTGCTATCGTCTGAAACTGTGACTTCGACTGAATCCTGCAATTGGTCCCTCGTGAAACCTGAAGAACAAGACCGGCCAGCCCAGCCCCAAAAGCAACCGATGTGCAAGAGTAAGATGTAAAAGGACAAACGCAGTATCAGAAGTAGGACGAAACAACGTAGAGCTTCACTTCAAACAGCATGAACTGTAAAGACTGTTGCTCAAGATCGAAAACTCTTAAACCGTCGCAAAGGGACAGTATTCAAGCAAATTGGCTCAGCTTCTTGGATTAGCTTAAGCGGGGGATGGAGGTTGGACGGAGAGAGGCAGATGCACCCGCATGCAAGAGAAAGTGATGTTAAAGACAGTTCAAGAGTACCGAGGACAGATGGTTTTCGTTTGAGGGGGAGCTGAACTCGTTGATTGGTTTTCACCATTGCTTCATTTGATTCTTCGTCTATGTTTCCATATACCTAATATGTACTGTTGCGGTGTTGTTTGTTTGGCGTTTTGCTCCAATGCTGCTACTTGAAAACCGTACATTTGTCCGTTCTTGTTGTGGGTTTTATCGTGTGTTCATGCCTGCATTGTTGGTGGCTATTTCCGTTACTCCTGTAGTTCTTTGTCCCTCTCATTGCGTCATGCGTTTTGTCTATCTATATCTCTATCTTCGTCGCTCTGATCATGGAACCCGTTTCTGGGAACATTCATGCCTTCGTGTCATTTTTGTCTGAACCACATGTCCTATCTTGTAATTATCCAAAAAGCCACATGTAACGTGGATCCTCGGAGTCGTCCAGGGTCTCCAGGTACACAACCTAGGCACATTTGAGACTGGCAACAAGTAGCTTGAAAACAAGGGTGACCCGTCGGATGGGAGTTACTTCTTCTAACGGGTGGAGTCCAAAACCATGGTCTCCACATGTCGATGCCTGCATTGGGCGGCATAAGCAGCGGACAAATCAGCAAACACGCAGGAAACACAAACGATGAAAAGGCAGCATAAACATCAGAGCGTACTACAACTACTGGAGCCTGTCCTCAGGCCTGGAAGCGGTCAGGGCCTCTGATTGTCCCAGGCATCACAGGCATCATCGAGACAAGGGCATCGACGATGGGGGCATCTTTGGGCATTTTTTGTCGGGTCAAACGGGTGCCATCCTGAAATGGAAAGACATGCTGCGGTGTCGTTTTGCTGCGCTAGTCTCAAATGTCTCAAGTGAGTTCTGGCTTCTGCGTGCGTTGTCTGGGTGCCATGGTTGGTGCCTTGGAGCCAACCACTGTGAACATCAAGGAACCCTGGGCACGCATCCCTTGCTCAAGGCTGTACCGAAGAGCAGCAAGTAGCTGAGACTCGCACGGGTCTGTGTCTTAGCATTATGGGTCTCATCGGGGGCGAGGTGGTTCTACGTCTCAACCTGAAGCCCTACACCCCAAGACTGAATCCCTACGCAAAATCACCAACCCCAACATTTTCAGTTCGTCAGGTTTGATGGGTTTTCTGCGCCCGAGTCACCGGAAAAGTTGGCAACAACAAGAATATCTGACATTCGATAACTTTGAACAGTTCTGAGGCAAAGCATAAAACACAAGGATAAAGTATTGCAAAGGTCAGCACAAAGCGTCCCCATTCTGAACCTCTGAGCGCCACACATCCGATCGCGTGCGGATGGACTCAGGCTTGGGCCTCAAACCCGAAACCCTAAACAACGACTGCACATGCTGTCACTTGCACTGGCCATTGCGGAACGATCATGTTCACACTCGCGGTCGGACAGCTTGTCGAGATGGAGCTTTTCTCGCTCCAAGGCCTCCATTGCCTGGCAGCAAGCACAGATCTCCGCTACCTGATACTCACACCATCCCACACCAGATGAAGCATTAGAGTCAATCATTAGAGGTGACTTTGTGGCGAAACCAGAGCGGCCTCTATGGATATCTACGAATGTAGCGCTTGCAGAAGCAGAAGCATGCAGTAGCGTAGCCGCTGGCAGAGCCGTAGGCTATCACGAAAGGCAACGCAAAAGGTTTGCAATTCCCGCAACCGGTCCAGCAAGCCTGGAACAAATATACTTCTGCTTCATACAGCCCAAACCACCTGGCTCCTGGCACCTGCTCACACGATAATGCGCCACCCCCCCCTCTGCGACTGCTGAAGCTTATTCTTACAGCATCAAAGATACAATGCTTTATGGCTGTTTTGAGAAGACAAGAATAATGGAGGAGCCGTGACAACAGACGAATGCAACGGACAAAATGAACCTTCTGGAATGCTCCACTTCATATCACTTCATCTTGTGCGCAAGACCACTCCAAGTCTCCGAGCTTCTTCAGAGTATGCAGCATGTGTGGGACAATCAAGCTTTTCGAGTGAGACTATCGGCTATCATTTTGGGTGTGCTCAACAAGTAAACATCCGGGTCATCGAAGTCCATTAGTGAAGGCTGAAACCCTGCGAACAAATCTAAGGCCTAGGGCCTAGGCCCCGTGTCTCAGTGCACCTGTATACTCGGCATGCGTGGGTCGGATCGAACATGAGATTCGGGTCAGAAGGCTTCTCCACGAGGTCTGCTGATCAGGTTATTTCCATCCTGCTCCTTTCTCACTATCTAGGAGCATGAGGAAGGCCACTGAGGGCCGAAACCCACCCTCGTGAGAGTAGCGCACCCCGATCCGGGTCCAGCAATTTCACGCGGTTGGGCGACACGGTCGAGAACCACTTTCCCCAAGTCTTATTTTAGGGCTCGCAGCACGGACTAACCCCCCCCCCCCGGCACCCCCCCCGTCAAAGCTTGAGCATGTCTAACGATCTTAGCCGGCTTGTGAAGTCAGGGTGGACATTCAGAAGTGTTGCCTAAACACCTGCGCACTTGCTTGTGAGCGACTTCATCTCTCCTTGGAGCGTGATATTAGCAATCATGCGGGCTCCCCAAACTCTCATGCAGAGATCTTAATTCTGCGAAACTCCAAATACACAAACTGACCAACTTCACAACCTTCTCAAAACACAAACAAGCAGATAAAAGCTTGCTAGCCTCCCGGGTCTCCTGCTCCACTTTCCGAACTGCATCCTATGCAGAAATGCAAAAAGTGACATTTCTGCAGGGATCACTGGTGACGGGCGCAGAAAGTCACATTATGTGAAACATGATGGAACGTGGCCTGGTAACACAGGCAACGACACGTCAACCAAGCCGAGCATTTTTGAGTGTGATGCAGACAACACTTCCCGTAGCCCCCCAAGGAGCTCTGTAGACTGCCCGATCTTTCGCGTGAATCTCTCTATGGGCCTTCGGAACTGAATTTAGCTGGGAACCCTCTGGGATCACGGCCAAATTGCGTCTTGGACGGGCTTCTACTTGACTTCCGACACGTGCCTACAGGTCGCACGTTCATAAACTCAGGTGAAAAGTACAATGTGCAGCAGCAGCAGCAGCAGCAGCAGCAGCAGCAGCAGCAGCAGCAGCAATAATCGAGTAGCGAGCCGGGTCGAGCCGCAGCTCACGGTCTTGACCTGAAGTGTTCGTGGCACATCCGCCCAGGCCTTGGGCCGTGTGTCTGGGTAGCATAAAGCAGGTACCCCACCTCCAATCCCCTCCCCAACGGCCCATGACCAGATTTGAACCCCAACCCTACCCCCGCCACCTCGACCCAGGTTGTCCTTGCTTGCTTGTTTTTCTCGGGACTGCGTTTTTCCGATGTCTGGAGCTTTAACTCTGCCTCGCCACAGCCTGAAGCTGGAATCTTTCCTGCGTTCAGCACAAGCGCATGGCGTTTTGACCTGGTCTATACCTGAGCCTCTGTGTTACAACAGGACCCCCAAAGGAATGATTACTCAAAGCATCTCGAAGCCCTGAATCCCAACAGCAAGGCCCCAGCCGAGGCAGGTCGTGTAGCGTTAAAATGAATACGCCGGATACGCATGTGGCCTGTACCAACACCAGAAGATCACATCCGAGGCCAAGTCTAGGGGCATTAACCAGGAGCTCAAAATGCTCAAATTGCTTCTGTGTTTCCGAATGGGCTTTGCGTAGTGGTGCGGTTGCCGTGGCCACAAGCGGAAGAAGGCTTCGTTTCTGCAGCCAAAAGAAGCATCCAAGGCCGTAGATCCTGGAGTTCCAGCACCAGTCAAAACAGCCTCTCGCGGTCGTGGTACCGGACGCCTCGCGGCTGCATTGTTGTCAAGCAGGACATAGCAGGGCTCGGAAGGACTTCGCGGACTGTGGCTGGACGAACGGCTCCAGACTTAATCATCGATGACCCAAAGCGTCCGGGAATGGCCCGAGAAGACCCAAGAGCGAAAGGGCCCCAACCGCCAACAAGCTTTGATGGACGGCCGTGTTGAACTCCACACCATCGTGATCCTCTTCGGCAAGAGCGGTCTCTGAGGCAAGTAGAGCCGCAGTCCAACCGTCCAACCACGTCATCCCGGGCGAGCCGGCCAAGCCTCCGACAAGCCACAAGCTCAAGCTCGAAGTCCCTCAAAGGGGTGACACCACGAAGTTCGTCGGCACAGCAAAAGGCCAGATGGCGTACGTCGAGGCGCAGCAACTCGTGATAAAAGTCCGCGCGATGCGGCGAGCAAAGGAGTGGAGCGCGTTGGGGCTCCCGGAGAGGGCATCAGGAGCTCGGGGTCAGACCCCAGTCTCTCTCCCTTCACCAGAGATAAGCAAGCGGCTTGCATCGATAAATTTTATTGTTGCAGGGTCGCAGTGCAGGGAGATTGCTTTCAAAGTGGGCACATGGCCGATGGAAACAACCAGCATGAACGTTGTGATCCCCCCCCCAACAAAAAGAACGGGCACTTCAAGGCCATGTTGAAAAGCACGAGCTGTTGAACCCAAGACATAAAAGACCAAAAGTACTGCAAACAACGATATTGAAAGTGATAAGCAAAACAAAAATAGATTCGAAACGTCAAAAGACAGAACAAAAGATGAACAAAACCTACCGCACGCCAAAATGAAGCTGTGCGCAATGTCCAAAAGAGGCGAAAGAAGCATTCGCGGCCAAAAACTGACGCGACAGGGCAGAGGCCCACATGAAAGTATGAGCTTGCCATCACAAGTGTCTCGGAAGAGTGTGGAGCTCAACCCGATCTTCCTGAGCTTATCTGAGCTTGATAGCCTGCTCAACCATGCCTTGCTGCTTTTGTATTTGTCTGGTGCACTTTTTTAAAACAACCCGATTGGTGCCACGATAAGACATGGTGACATTCAACGGAGTCTTTCACTGGAAGCCGGGCTGCAGGAAGATCTGCTGACCCGCGTACGCACGGCTTGGCTCGTCCACTATCGTCCACTCATGGTTTCTTTGACGAAACAACAGGGCCAGGTCCAGCCCAGCACAATGCTAACATCGGCCAATGTGGGGACGTGCGGGGGGAGGGGGAGGGCGGATGGGGAGTGAACAAGCCGCAAGCCCTTTGTCGTGTCCGGTCCGATGGTCGCCGTTGAAGAAAATTCACCAGGCGTGAATCTAAGCGCACATTTGGGCTCTCCTGCCTCGGGGCAGCGTCACTCGGAAGTAGTCAGAGCCCGCAGGAATCTCAGTGTCAATGCAGTGGGGCTTGCATCTGCCGATTGCAGGCTAAAACGATAGTGTCGCTTAGCAGCTAAGCACGCCACTTCATCCTCTGGTCGAACACAAGGAGCCTTCCCAGGCTATGGCACCGGCACTGGCAATCCAGCAGTCATGCAATGCACCGGACCCTTCACTGAGCTTGCAGCAGGCGGCTGTTCACGAGAAGCTTCAAGGACCTGCAGTGAAAGTGTTACTCTGACCGCAAGGCACTGCCAGGCACTGGCCTCATCCCATCCATCATCACGGCAGAGCTGCCCGTAATCCTGTTACGTGTTTCTAGGGATTCGAGGGGCACATCGTCACACGAATGGCAAAGTGGGGGAACAAGCAAGCCACGACCTGTCCTTCTCAAGCTGACGAAAGAACTCCTGCAAGCAGAAGGTGCTTTGAACGTCACACAAGCTTACAAATGTTCAACACGAATCGGCCATGGCAGCAGCACATCATGCCGCCGTCATGACGAGCTCCTCGTTGCATTTGCCAGCATCGATCTGATTATCCTGGTGTGCGCAACAGCAACATGACAACACCACGGGACCACGGGAAGACGACGGGTCACATGAAATGCACAACACCACCACAGTCAGCTGTCGTTGCTGCGAGCATTGGTTTGCAAGCCCTCGAGCGCAGCCTTTGGTGATGGGGAATGTCCAGGCTTCACAGAGCCCTTTGTCGCCTTGCTTTGAAGCAACCTTGGTCGAAGGCCAGAAAAGTTCTCAGCTTAGGTCTATTCAGGTGTTAGGTACGGCAAGGGCACCATGGGATCCGCGGCTCAGCTTTGGAATGGTTTCTCTTAACTTGACCAATGTGCGCCGCGAAAGATCAAGCCTACCGGGCACCCACCAGTAAAAAATCGACTCGTGGCTTCAAGTAGTTCATCAATTTCATATCCAAGCAACTGTTTCATGGACTCGCGGATCTTTGCGCCACGGCCGGCGGCTCTGTCACCTCCACACCCATTTGGTTCTAAACTTGGCCCGTTTAGAATGCACAAAGGCACACATGATCTTGGAACCTCAGGCACCGAGCTCTGAAACAAGCCACCTTCCTTCATGTGTGACATCTGTGGTGCCACTGCCACGTTGTGCAGTGTTGCGCAGCAGATGGGAGGAAGTCTTGGCTCAAAGTGCATGTGGTAGCTGCGTAATGATGTTGCCAGGTCGACCAATCGTGTCTGCTTCCCTTGTACTGAAGAACTGGCGGTACGTGCAGCAGCTGCCCTAAACTAAACCTACCTGACATGTCACAGGTCTACTCTGCCAGGGCCAACACCTTTCATTCATGGCTCAACGCTGCTTCAGATCGAGATTCCGAGTGCCCATGCTGTGCACCCCAAAATGCCGCTTCGTAACTTGTGCTTCTCCGACGCTTTGCCCCTTCTTGCATGGTCTGCCAGCTGTGACAAAGCACTTTTCCAAGGGCAGTCTCAGCGCGTGAGACCGCTTTGCGGAGTTGCCTTGGGCAATTTTCTTGCCGAATGACAACAAGCAGTACAAAACATACCGAGTTTTGTGTCGCCTTCCACTCCCACAATGCACGAGGGAGCCTTCTGCAGCATCTGGCTTCCAGACAAGCTGGCCTGAACGCTACAAGGAGCAAGCTTTTCTAGGCAGGGCAAGAGTCTCGGGCTCTGACACCGAAGGTTATGATCGCAAGTCTTACAAGCCAGCACTGCCTGCCTCTTCCACACGCTCTCCGGGATGTCTGAAAAGGCAACTGGTTCCTGAGTCTGCCAAATGTATCCAAATGTTGCATGGTGTCAGGGAGGGACATCGCAAGAACCCCCAAGTCGGGCAGCTGGCGGGTGCAATTTGCACCTTGGTTGCACTCCTGCAGCTTGAACTTCGCTCGGACACGCCTGAGATGAACAAGCCAAGCATTTCAGCCTTCTCCACATATGACACACCCAAAGGCATGTTCCGCAGCCAAAAACTTACTGTTCTCGGCATCAAACACAGCTACCGGGGGTCAACAAGATCAGTTCAAAATACTCTGAACTGCAGATTCTATGTTTGTTCACAGGGCCCAGATGCAGCAGAATACAACATTTGAAGCTATTAGCTTTTGCAGCTGCAGTTGTTCACAGGCTAAAACACTACAGAAGTTCTGCCTCGCAAGCGGAATTTTTCAGAAGTTCTACGCGCTGCAAACCACAGCATTTCTGACCATTCACCGGCTGCAAACACTGTAAACAAAAATGGGAATCTCGGAAATTCTGCCTGTTCAGGTCAGAAGCTGCACATGCTGCTAACTGCAGCATCTCCGACTCTTCAACGACTCCAAATTCTGTGAACTTCATCATTTCTGCTTGCTCATGGGTTCCAAGTCTTAACCCACAGCATCTCACCCTGTCACACCCCAAATACTGCAATAATAAATTACAGCACGTCTGGCCCAACCGAGTCAACAACGAGGCAACAACGAAAAGAAAGCAACAACAAAGAATGCACACATACTCCAACCACATGGAAACCAGACATGCCAAAATGTGGGGCCCCACAGCGTGCCTTTCTGTTGCCAGAAAGGGGCGGGGGGGACAAGGAGTGGGGGTGGAGAGGGCAAACAACTACAAAACTACAAAACGGTAGCATAGTAGCTGAGGAACCCTGGAGTCTAGGGGTTCTACCTCGGACCCTTAAGGTTGTACCCTTAGGTTTTGGGCCCCTTTTTAAAGGATCCCTTAGGGGCTATATGGGCCATATTGGGAGCATATTAAGGGGAACCTTTAGGGGTACAACCTTGGGGGTCCGAGTCTTCATCCCTTGATGGAGTGGAAGACAAAATGGTCGGGGATGAGAGCCTGGAACGGCTTGGCACAGAGACAATAAGAAACAAGCGTGCAGCCTAAGGACAAAACCAATCGTACTGAAGAACGACTACTCTGGATGTTGTCTCAGGAAAACTGTAGCAGCATGTAACACGTGCTCATGAAAACTACTCTGCAAGTCATGTCCCTGTATTTCATTAATCCTAACAGGGCTCATTCACGTTTCATAGTACTAAACCTGTATCACAACATGCATACTGAGTTTTGGTTGCTGCTGTCTACCTCATAAAGGGTTGCTATTACAGCCATACGTGTATTCCGTGTGTACTTCCTACTGAACTAAAACCGAAATAACATCTCACGAAAGCTTTGCCGGTATGAGATGCACATATTTTGAAAGAATCTTGAATTCTTACTTAATTGGTCAAGAACTCGTTTCTTGAAAAAAAGTGAAGGACATCATTGGCATGTCGATAACATGTGAGCACTGTGATGACTATATCAGTTGGTACGGACTGTATATCTGAGTTCTGCTTGTTAATGCAAACTTAGTACTGGAAACAAGATCCAGTTTCTTTTTTTTCTACGCGTATGTGATTGGCTTGTAGCATGGCGTTCTTTCTTTCTGTATTGCGCTGCATCTTGCGTCCTTGTTTTGCTTCGGTTGTTCTTTCTGTAATTCTGCACTTCTGAACGAATGTAAGTCTGAATTGCTTCCTGTCTTCTTTCCGTCACCAGCCTAGAACACTTTGGGTTAAGTTTTCTTTGCTGACTATGAAGTCGTTCTTGATGCCCGAAAAAATGCTTGTTGATGCCTCTCCCCTCACTCCTTTGGTTACCTGCAGAAAGGACAAGGATTCGGCATCTCCTCTTCTGGGTCCATGATGTGCGCCTGCCATGGGTGTGAACACGTCAACCTACCGACCAGCCAAAGTCTTGCCTACCCAAGCACAGCCTGTTCCTGCCATTCCGAGCATTCAGATGAAGCCCCTTGAAGTCTCAGTCCCAGAATGCCTCTGGACAGCTGCTTCCACGATCACACCGCGTAAAGCCTCAGCGGCCGCTTTGAGTTCCAAATAAGCCTTATCGGGATTAACGTGCTATAACAATCTTCATATTAGTAGTTCTCCGATTGTGAAGCAACTTGCCTCCAACAAGAAGGATGGGGCTCCCACAAAGGTACTGCACGCACACACGATGGCCCAGCGAGGTGGAGCTTGCGCCGAGTGACGCAGTCCTTAAATCAAAAGAGTCAATGTCTCCAAGCCCTCCGCCAAGCTCTCAGGAACATCCAATGCTCTTTCATGGGAACAAGAACAAGGTCAGCTAGGCACAATACGGTGCATGGAGTGACGGACGCAAGCCCGGAGCTGGTGCATTCGGCCTGAGTTGGTGTCTCTGCATCTGGCACAAAGGAAATACTGCTGGAAGCGCTTGCGAACGTCCTTGTGCCACACAGGCTCCAGTGTCGGTGGAAAGGCTCCAAAAGGTGCCAAACCGAGAAACATTTTGGCATGGCTTGCGTCTAGCCAAAAGGACCCCAACAAAGCTAAAACCTTGCAATGCAAAACGCGCTCATCACCTTGCTGCAGCACTGAAGCAAGTCCATTGAACTACCAGCCCAGGGTTCCCAGTTTTCGCATGGCATGAGAAGCAGCCGAAAACGAAACTGTGAACCAGCTGTACACTGTTGTAAGCTGCTGACGCATAGCTGGACTGCTTCGGTAACACGTTGAAACCCAGAGCTGCTGCAGCGGCAACGCCTGCCTGATGCTGGCAATGCTGCTTCTGAGGAAGACCTATCGTTTGATAAACGCCGTGTGCCCTCTGTCAGGCCCCGAATCCTGGGGTTTAGGAAGATTAGGAAGTTGATTTAAAATGAGGTTCTACAGCTTTGGAATGCTTTGGGTTTCGCAACATTTTGAGGGCCATCTTCTCGCTTCTCTGCGTCCCAGGAGCAGAATGCTGGCCACATGTTGCAGGCTCACGTGGCTTTCGGGGGGCCTTTAGGCCTGGATTTTAACACCCTTGTTGTTTAGGGCCGAAGGGCTTGAAGGCGTCTTGGGCTTTGCGAGGAACCGGACGATAATGTTTGAACGTGAAGCCTAAATATGCCCAACATTATCCCAGCCGTGTGAGACCTTCATGCTAAAGCAGTTCGACTTTGGACACACATTAGAACCGCAAATGAGAAACAACCAGGCCAAACTCCGCAACAGAATTTCTATCAATCACAGTGCACACGCATCTGCCACACCAACGCAGTGTATTCATGCCGAACATGCCGTTGCCGCCCATCCCACCCAAAACAGTCGTAAGGAAACCCATGATGTGTCATTTTGGTATTTGAACGAGTGTCTAGCATAACCTCCTCTAGTCACATAGATCATGCCTGCTTTACTTCCAAGCCGACATGCAAACTCGGACAGCCTAAAGAAAATACGCCAAGCATACAATGAAGTACAAGCGGTTAAACAGAATGTGTTTCTTGGTGTTTGAAACGCGCCTGGTGACAGGACCTCGCAACAGGTCAAGATAAGAGCACCCCTCGCTCCTCGGCCTGTGACTTGAAACGGAAACCTGATAGGATCCACGAACCCGAATGCAGAAAGCAGTCACCTATAACGTAAATATAACGCAATATAAACGAAACGTCGGTGGCGGGCGGACGGACCACCATCACGGACCACCACCACGGCCCACCACCACGGACCACCACCACGGACCACCACCACGCACCACCGCCACGGGACCACCACCACGGACGTCCACCACGGACCACCACTATGGGACCACCGCCACGGAGCACCACCACGGGACCACCACCACGGGACCACCACCACGGGACCACACCATGGGACCACCACTACGGGACCGCCACCACGGGACCACCACCACGGACCCCACTTAGAACCACCACCACGGCCCACCACACGGACCACCACGACTACGGGTCATGGACCACCACTACGGGACCACCACCACAGGACCGCCAGGACCACCACCACAGGACCACACCATGGGACCACGAACACGGGACCACCACCGACCACCACGGACCACCACTACGGGACCACCACCACTGGGGCACCACCGCCACGGGAGCGCCACCACGGACCACCACTACGGGACCACCACCACGGACCACCACCACGGGACCACCACTACGGGACCACCACGGGACCACCACCATGGGACCACCACCAGGACCACCACCAGGGGACACGCACCCTGTGGAGTTCCCCCTTAGCTTGACGGATTCGGAACGCCGCGAAATGCCACGTAGAACGCCACGGCGTCGTCTGTCCTGTGGAGTTTCCCCTAGAATTAGCTTGACAGATGCGGAACGCCACGTGGAACGCCGTGGAACGCCACGGCGGCGCGCGTCCTGTGGAGTTCCCCCTTGGCTTGACGGATTCGGAATGCCGCGGAACGCCACGTGGAATGCCACGGCGGCGCGCGTCCTGTGGAGTTCCCCCTTAGCTTGACGGATTCGGAACGCCACGGCGGCGCGCGTCCTGTGGAGTTCCCCCTTAGCTTGACGGATTCGGAACGCCATGGAACGCCGCGTCGGCGCGCGTCCTGTGGAGTCCCCCCTTAACAGCACGCGTTACGCCACTCGCGAACGCTTGCGGACGCTTGCGGACGCTTGCGGACGCTTGCGAACGCTTGCGGACGCTTTGCGGACACAGCGCAACGACGTTTGGTAACCTCCCAACCCAACTTTAACACGGGAACCCTTCTGCGGAGCATTCGGGAAAACGGGAGCCCTTCTGCGGAGCATTCGGGAAGCACGCGTCCTGTGGAGTTCCCCCTTTAGCTTGACGTATTCGGAACACCGCGGGAACGCCACGGCGGCGCGCATCCTGTGGAGTTCCCCCTTAGCTTGACGGATTCGGAACACCGCGGGAACGCCACGGCGGCGCGCGTCCTGTGGAGTTCCCCCTCAGCTTGACGGATTCGGAACGCCGCGGGAACGCCACGGCGGCGCGCGTCCTGTGGAGTTCCCCCTCAGCTTGACGGATTCGGAACGCCGCGGGCATGCGCGTCCTGTGCAGTTCCCCCTTAACAGCACGCATTACGCCACTCGCGGACGCTTGCGGACGCTTGCGGACGCTTGCGAACACCTGCGGACGCTTGCGGACGCTTTGCGGACACAGCGCAACGACGTTTGGTAACCACCCAGCCCAACTTTAAAACGGGAACCCTTCTGCGGAGCATTCGGGAATTAAAGCTTGTCCAAAAAGTGTGAGAAGTGAAGATTTTGGCCATCCAACCCCAAAGCAACAAATCAAGCGCCTGTGCTGTGTCAGCAGTTCCCTCTTGAGCTTTGCGGGCCTGAGGAGGGCTCACTCGCGCTCACTCCCGACACCATGGAATCACGACAACCGTAAGTTTCAAACGCGCTCTGTATTGTTCTGCGTCTGATGCGCCTCGCTGTCCAGAACTTGTGGGGGAGCCTGATGCAGGCGTTGGCAAGTAACTGCTAAAGAGAATCGGATTGGTGCGTCAGCACATCCAAACATGGCTACAAACCGCGAAGCTACGAAAGCTACGAAATTGTGATTTGGAAGTGCTAGCATCCGTTTGGACCTCAGCGATGGAGCACTGATGAGCACTGACAGGCTGAGACTCTAAGAGCTGCACATCCGTCACCGTCAGACTTGGACTACGGGAACGGCCTTGCAGTAGCGACTGTGCAGCAAGAGCTGTCCATGTGCACAAGAGTCATCACGTGAGTTCGAATTTGCTATACTTTGACTTGCCGGCCTTTGTTCTTCTTCTTGGTCTTCTCGGTCTCGTCACCCCTGTCCTTGTTTTTCTTTCGCTGCCTTGCCACCGCACTGAAAGCAAAAACTGCTCAATCGGGTAGTTTTTAAGTTGGACAGGAAACCGGCGATCAATAGCCGCAGGAGGCTTGAACATGCACCTACGATCTACACGTCGGCTTCTGACCTATCATAAGATGTCCCCGTTGCGGACGGAACAGCATGCAAACAAGTCGACATTGAACGTCCGATGTATACGAGATCCGAAGTTCTGCCACATCCAACCGACTCAAAAAGGCTACGTCCGGCTCCTCTCAAACATTGATGAATGGCATACAATGCGGTCTATTTTGCTTGCCCTTCGCCTAGTCACAGGCATGGGAGCGAAGGAGAAATGAATCTGCTTCTGGGTCTTTTCAGCAAAACACGCCCATGCCATGTTATGAAGTGCTACATCATGTACCGTCGTGAAAGGGAGTGATTCCGTGAAGCAGCTTAATTGATTATCACATGGGCAGATTCAGGAAAGGATCGGTACAACACTTTCAGGTTGCATTACAAGCATAGTACATATGCGCAAAACGCTTGCTGTCTGAATGAAACCAATGGTTGTTTCATCACACCCACACCTCACTTCTTGGCAGCGAAGGACCCTAACCCACCATGGTGTCGTCAGGTACGGCAGTACATCCCTGGCTGTAAGGAACCTTGTACAAAAGCTATCTGCAGGCAAGACTCCTGGGCTTGTCCTTCTTCGGGTTCGTATTTGCACTGAGACCTGTTTGAGAAAGAGCGAGAGACAGAGACATACACAGAGACAGAGATAAAGACAGAGTTTCAGACAGACAAACTGGGTTTTAGTTGGAACTGAAACCGCTAACGCGAAAGGGAACATGAACAAGTGGAAAACTGGGTCCAAAGAAAATGAAAGGCTTTGGCCGAACGAGAAACTTCTGACTTTGACTTTGATGCCGCACAACGCCAAACGTCCCCTTCGTGGCATTTGGAAACAAACCCCTCTGGGGTCATCAAATCGGTGTGTGAGCTGTAGGGTGCTGTAAAGCAGGCTCTACGCCAGAAGGGAGCACTATGGCGTCGGGTAGGGGCCATGCTACCTTCCCACACTGCGGAGAATGCTAACAAGTTGAATGTAGCTAGTACATATGTGTACATATATACATATGAAAAATATGTGCATATATACAGTGCATGTTCAATGCGAGACGCAGGAATATGAGTCCATGTTGTGTTTTGAGACAAACGAGATGTAACGACTTCGATGTGAAACTGCATCACGAATGATTTACATGCATCCCCCTACAAGACATCACGGCATCTTGCATGGCAATGGCTTGGGGAATCACGTCTCAAATAAGAAAGATTCTGTCATCTGTCGGCCCAGAGATTGCGACCAAAATCGAAGCGCGTCGTCGCGGACTAGCAGACGAAATGGCATGTGTGGTCTTGCCCTGCTATGACCCAAGCAAGAGAGGGAGAAGGGCTGCAAGCAAAGGAAACAGGTGAAACTTCGAGAAGTCGTCAAGAAATGTATAGAAGATTCTAGAAGCAATGGGGGAGCAAATCAAATCAAAAAAATGGATTAGACGCAGAACCGACTAAAGTACACTTGCAACATGCATTCTACACCCTACCACCTGCTGCGACTCTGAAGGAACGCGTGGAAAGCCCTGAAGCCCAAGACACATTACAGCGAGACGCAACCCGAAGACAGCATCATGGAGTGCTAGTGAAGGCCTGGCTCGTGAATCTCGACCACGCAAACCTGTCTGTCTACATCTGTCTGCAGCTGCCTGCAACTGTCTGCTTGTCTCGAGGAAAGCACATGTCCTGGCCATCCCTGACCAAGAAACAGTCTTCACGCGTGCTGAGCGACTACTACCGGTTACTACCGGCATCCCTGAGGACCTCCAGGTCCGTCACAGGTGCTGAAACCTGGCGAAAGCATGCGAAAGCCAACAGACACTTGGGGGCAAGGCCGAGTGTTTGCTGAGTTTTTTGCCTTGTCCTCCACCATTGTCAAACTCGGGCTCCGGGATGTGCCGCGGGCGCCTTTTCGGCCTGGAGAACGGGAGTGAGAAAATTCCTCTTCGGTCTTTTGCGCTCGACACAGCTTGTGCTCCTCGGATTGCATGGCATGCCACAAGACACACATCCCTGGCCTGCTTCAACTTTGGCAAGCTGCAGAGGTGCCTTAGACTGTCTTAGCCCTTCCCGAGCCTTGCTATGTAGACCAAGGTTCTAGAAGCGTCTGCATACAGTTTGCATATCAAGCCTGCAGTAAATACAGTACAAGATGCATCTGCCGGCAACATCATTGTCAAACTTGGGCTGCGGGATGTAGCCTTGCCTGAGAACAGCAAATGTGCGGAGCGTGAGGGCATCATGCTGGTGGCGAATTCAATACTTTGAGGCTTCATGCTGAAGGGGGTCTGGGGTACATGATGTGCTACAGCATGTCTTTCTCCTCAGGGCGTTAGCAACATCCACATCCTGCCCATATTTTGGTTGATGGACGGTGCTGCATAGCGACTGCGCCCAAGGCAAACCTTACCTGTCGTTCCAAAGACTATCGTATGTTCTTCTAGTCGGCCAAATTCCAGCGCTGACTGAACCACCTCTGCTTGCAACTCTGAACATGACCTATCAGGAAATAAAGACTAGCGCAAGTTGTCCGAAAGAACCCAGCCTTTTCTTTTGTGACTTTTGCTTCTCTTTCTTTTCTTCTTCTTCTGTTCAGAAACCTCGGGCGATTGGTAAAAGCATTTTAGCGACGATCCAGGAAAAACGTGCAGCTAGTTGCAGCCCTTCCTATGCATGCAAACATCCATTGGCTTAGGCCATGTTGACAACTCGCCTCTTCGCTCGAAGATGACCCGCCTGCGTTTGCTGCATGTGCTTGAGGTGAAAGACTTGCAGACATGGCTTTGGAACATTGAAAATAGAGTACCTGTGTAAGCGCCATCACTCGATCTTCCGCATGAAAAGAAACAGTACTGCGGGCATGTGTGGGTATTTCATGGTGGCTGCCTTTGTTCTTCTTTTTCTTTGCCTTGTCCAACTCTTTCTCATTCTTCGGTCGACCTTTATCTTTCTTGGCTTTCCTTGCAGCTCGGATGAATGCAAACACTCGCTCGTGCTCTCAATTTATTATCTGCAAGTCCGCATGTTAGGCGGCCCTTCTGGTGCAAGAAAGCATCTTGTCTTTCTCCTTCGGTGGCTTTTTCTCGCCTGCAGATGACTTGTACATGATTAGCTGCTGAGAGCATTTCTTCGTGTCGCCTGCATGTCTGCAATCACAACGAGACGCACTTTCTAACTCTAGATGTTCATTCAATCTCGAACCTTCAAGCCTGGCTGATGGCTGTCTACCGCCTCGGCCGTCCAGACCTCCACATGTGATTCAGAAGGCAATCAATGCAGCAAAGAAATACCAAGCACAAACGACAAGACAGCAAAGAACTGAAAAGTTGGCGCATGCAAGTGCCTTAACGCCGACGCTGACGTCATACCTGAATAGCTCTGCCGAAATACATCAGGGCTTGGCACAGGCTGGTCTACGAATGCTGATTCGGCTGACGCGGTTGAAGCAACGACAGCTGCAGCTGCAGAACCGCAGGTCACTGGTCCAGCACTGGTCCGGCTTTGATGATGAGGTTGATTCTGTCAAGCTAAAGCATACGGCAACTCTTGGAATGGTGTGTTGTCCAATGTCAAAATCATGCTGAGAACCTCAACAGACTCAACAGACTTGTGTCGAGCTGCGAGGATTTTCTGCAAGTGAAACGATTGAAAGGGGCGCAGTCTTCAAACAGCAAAGCAACAGAGCGTAACAGGGTGTCTGACAAATCACTCTTCTCCACTGCTGTAGATATCCTTGGCTGGCCATGTGGAAGTTTGATGCGAAAAGTTGAGTGAAAGCCTGTTATGGCAGGGTGGTTGCCAGCATCTGCATTTGGGACATGCTGGAAGCCGACTTTCACGAACTCCTTACAACTCCGTGTGGGGAACGAATTGATGCACTGCTTGGCAAACAAGGCACGCTGTCAGTGGTACACATTTCCGGGCAGCCTGCACACGATTGAACCAAGCAACATCAACTGACGCAGTGCAAACATGAATGCCCCGAGTGCGGGACACAACACAAGCAGCGTACCAACGTGATGCACAAACTGACACTGTTGGATAGGAGGGCTCACTGCCCTTTCAAAGAACGACGTGTCGTGATGAAGTCATCACACATGCCATGACTAGCACCGACTGCCAATGGCCCAACCCACAACAAAATCTACGAAAACCACGCCTGTCTTCGAAGCTCTTTCACCTTCGCTACACCGCAACAAAAGTGTCAACCTGAACCCCTACACTGTCGATTGTTCGACGACCAACAAGCCACTGATTGTTCAGAACTGCATGTTGCGACTGTACATAAAGCGGACTCTTGATCACAATGGTTATTCGACTACAGCCCAGCATGGCTGCCATTGAGGCCGGCGCCGGGAGCTTCTCCAAGAGTTCCCATTCATCCTCACGTACTTGTACCGCAACTTTTTCACCGCCCTGACTGTCATAACCAGGAAGAACCCTGTCGGAAGAACCCTATACGCTCAGCATCGGCTTCCTTTCCCATCGAGGAACCAATCTCAAGCTACATCATGGACGTTGTATGCGTGTATCCTGCACAAGTAGCAACGAAAGTAAGTATGCAAGCTAACCACGAACCGTTGCACATGTATATGCTCGACACAGACTGCAATTCCAAAAGGAATAGGTGGAATGCAATGGCCCAAAAAATTGAGCTAAAAGGCTGCAACAATGCAATTCCAATACACATGTGAGGTGTACAATGCTAAAAGTGGATTTGCTAGATTGAAAAGTGGCCAAAGCGATACTGTACTGATCCACCAAAGCTTTCAGCATGACATGCAAAATGTTTCAGCATGACAGAAATTCTAAAGCCATGTCCCTCACCTTCGTTTTCAAAAGCAGCAGCATATGAGAGTACGAGGAAAATCGAAATCCCGGTTTTGGCAGCAGTGTTCGAGGCTTACTACTTGCTGGGCCTTCTGTGCAGGGTTTAGGCAGCAGTCAAAACAAGGCTTAATGCTTGTTGGGCCTTTTGTGGAGGGCTTGGGCAGCAGTTTAAAAAGCTTAATACTTGACGGGCCTCCTGTGGAGGGTTTACGCAGCAGCTTTAAGAAGCCTAATACTTGCTGGGCCTTCTGTGGAGAGTTTGGGCAGCAGTTTAAGAGGCTTATTTTCAATATTGGGAGTCTGCCGCCCAGCCTGCATTGGCCCCACCTCCACGGAGCCTTCACAGTAACACAGTCGACAAGGCAGGTCTGTTGTCAAAGCAGAGAAAGGACACTGTCGCTCAAATTCTCTTTTTGTCCAGAGCAGGCCGCAGGTCAATTGCATTCGATTTGGTCGAATGGAAGATCCATTTCAGCCAGCATTCTAAGGCATTCTTCTACGCTTGAGGCCTGCACCTTGGTCTCGCATTTTTTCCTCGGCTTCAGGTTCAAGCTCACCGTGTTACCTGGTCTATTTCCGTTTCACATTTGGTAAACAAGAAGCAAAACTTGACAGCTAAGCGCATCCAGTTTGCGAAATCTTGGTGCAGCGTTGCGACTCGCTGAGTCCAATGTCACCTGCATGTATGCCACCAGGCGCCCAGTCAAAGCACTTGCCATATATCATTCCACGTCCGGGGCAGCATCGCGGCGCTTCCATGAAACCTGCAGTGGAGGACAACCACAGAAATCATCGCTGTGGTCAAGCCAGGCTTTCTCATGCTCTACGCGCCTATGCGACTGTATCCACGATGTCCTGACAACTCTTGGCTTTCACAGCGGCTGCCGTAGCACAGCTCTGCATAGGCCGCATAGTGGTCAGACCTTGAAAATGACTGAATTACTGTTGATAAAGCATGCCACGTATCGCCTGCTCCAACTATGCAAGCAAGGAACAAATCGTCTACAGAGATGTTGGGCCGCGTCAATGAGCTGGAGAAGCAAACATCCGATTTCATTGGCAGATACTGCCACTTCATGGTCTGAGGGCTGGCATACCTGGAAGGAAACAGTTTTGACCGACTGTTTGGAGAAGGCCCTTGGCTTGTCCAACAGGTTGAGACAAAGGCACTTGCCGTCGTTCGAGATGTAAGCTATTTGATCGTGAGGACTTTTCTCATGCACTTCCTGGAAAGGTCTTCGGGCAAGTCTGCGCAACAACAAAGCACTGATCAGTGGGGAAACAATCGCAGCAACATCAAGTCCTTGGGATCGTAGTGCAAATAGGCATTCTGCCCACCGCCTCCCTTGATTTGTCTTTGGTCGAAAAAAGGTGCACTATCATGCACTCCATTCAGCACCGTGCTGAATGCCTACTGCGAAGAAAGGACGCGAAAACCAACGTCGGTTCAAGCTGTACAAGGAGCGCTGCAGCCCAGCAGCATAGGAGCTGTACTTCAGGGTCTCGCGCAGTGGCAGCCAAAAGCCAGCCGGTTGAAGGGGCGGACTGGCCGCATGGAGTTCCTCACAGCCAAGCCGACCCAGACCCATAACGGCGCTGACTCCACCGTGCTGGCAACAATTTCAAGCCACGAGACTGTCTTCATGACAGAAATCTCAGACATCTCTGTGTTCATATCTCCAGCAACCACCACGCGTGCACCTTCTGGAATGGTTGTCTGGATGTGTCTCCAAAGTTGCCGCCACCTTATGATTCGTCATGTGTCGCTTGTACTATACATAAGAACGGCGCTTGCATGTTTCGAAGAGCTGCAAGACAACATAAGGACCACACTGCTTGACGCGAATCTCTTCATTCTCGGGCCATGCTTGTGTGTGGGACCCAATGACCCACACCTCCCCAATGGAAGGATGATGTACTCGCGCGCGCAAGAAGCCCTAGCAGGCATCGCGAGCTTTCTTTCATCAACAGTGGTCACCATGAACCTGATTGACACGCAACACGACACTGACATTCAGCTTGTATGAAGCTTCCTGGCCTTCTGTGACATACCATCCTCGAAGTCGTGATCTTCGTAGGCCTCCTCGTGCAAATCCGAGATCGTGAGGCCCTTGCGCACCATGATCACAACCCCGCCTGGCAGAGCCAAGTGTGAAACATCGATTGAAACGCCGCTCCGCTTCCGCAGCCCGTGCTGCCCACACTCGGGTTCAGGCTTGGTTGCTGTCTGCACTCATAACAAGTTTGATGGTCATGCTCTCGACTCCAAGCTTGCGGACAAAAGACATCGAAAGAATTATCATCGGGCTTGGCAAACTTAACTTGTGGAAGGATTCAAGAGTTTGGGATGCTTGCAGAGAACAACGGCAGCACGGCCAGCATAGGCCAGCTATGGATGTCTCTTACTTTACTGCATTTGGGGCCATACTGGACAGGCAATTGCAAGTCAGGCCAAAAAACGTACCGTATGTGACGCATGTCAATGTGATGGCCTTGGATGTGAGCTACTCCTATGTGGTCCCAGGGAGATGAGCGGCCGTATGCAAACCTCTTCATCACACTCCCAAAATGTGAAGGCCTGAGATCTTGATGATTCCTGCCGGGTTCGCAACCCGCGTTGCAAAACCAAAATTGCCAACATCACATTGGTATACCTTGTCCGTTGCGCCCCGTCCGCCACGAGTCCACTTGGAGCTGCAGAGCCTCGTACCATTCATCGCTTATTGCAAGCCAGTCGCCGGAACTTCTTCTTCCTTCAGACTTTGGAACCAGCTGACGAACCCATCCGCCCGTGCTTTCATGTCCTCGTCACGGGATGCCCTGAAGGCAGCATTCTGAGCTTTTTCATCCTGAGGGCAAGACTGGCTTTGAGCCGAAGGCCGTCCCGTTCCCGGGAAGCCAACCACCAACACGAACCTCTAAAAGGAAGGCGTTCACCTCAGCAAGCAACCGCTATAAACTCGGTGAAGTAAGAGCCCACAGCGAGTGGCGTTCTATATGCTAAATGTTCTAATTTTGGTTTCAGAAATACAGGGCTCGGGCATTCATGATGGCCAGCACATCTTCACGGCCGGCCCTCCCATTACGTGGTCCGAAGCTTCGATTGATGCTTTCTCTGAAGCCCTCCGCGCAGACGAGTAGAAGAAGCAGCCTCTGCCCCCTGAAGGCCATGGCTGTTGAAGGCTAGTAAACTAGTACACCGCAGACAACAACTTGAGCAAGCTGAGGGCATCAACCCGAGCAGCAAGACCAGGTTTCTCCAGAAGACGAAGCTGAAGGTTCCCAAAATGGCTCCCATGCTAAGCTCTTCTTGCATCGGATCTTCTCCTCCTCTCGCTTCTTTTCGTCTGCGGCCTTCCTCACGCATGCTGTAGCATGCACGCTTTCGTAAAGCTCAGAAGAAGCCTTCATGGACCTGAGGGACCCGCTTGAGTTGTTCTCGCAGTGAGCTCATTTCCTTAGCAGCTCATGCAAATCTGGCAAAATGCGCTCGCTGGTGCTCCCGGTTGATGCTGCAGAGAAAGATGAAAAGGCATCTTCCGAAGAGCACAGGGGTTCGAACCGACACCAAGGCTTCAGGTGTCGGGTTTAGGCAAACCAGAGTCTTCAACGACCCTACGGGTCGAGCTCCCCCGTACTCAGGTCCTCTTTGCAGCTACCGGCTTCCAGCAGCCGAGTTCAAAGAGTGTAGGTCTGTGTAGGTCGGCTGGGAGTGCGCAAGATTGGCTTGAGCTTAAAAGATGCTTCCCTCAGCTGAGACGACCATTATCTGAATGGTCTCCCATCGGAGTGAGAGCAGCAGCATGAGAAGGAGAATCGGACGGCCTCCCTAGCCCGAGTGGCTTAAATTTTCATGTGCTACGTGACACAAGCTTTGCATACCCGGACCCTACACAAGCAAAACGTAAAAGCCTACACTTGGCCAGACAAGAATGTCTCTCACAGTTTCGGGCTACTGGCTCTGCAGTCTTGCTGGGAGATCCGCGAGAGGCTCCTCAAACAGAAGATCATCGATCGTTACCTGGACTGCGTTGAAAGCCAGTGGCTTTGACGTGTGTGGCAGCAAGTTCGACATGCAAGTAACACTAGCCACAGGATCGACTGCTCCAACAAGCAGGCTGCAGTACGTCAAGCTAATCGTTCAAATTTTAAAGGGACAGCAAGGAACATCGCTGGGAGATGTTGGGAAGGTTATCGCTGCTGGAATATTGGAGGCCTGCCTCCACGCCCGAGAGCCTGAGCTTTTGTTGCATGTCGATTGCCATCATCGAATCCACACCTGCCGCGAGAGCGTGCATTCGGGGCAAGTGCTCGAGGACACCCACGAAGACCCTCGAAACGTGGCTCAAGCCCGCCTTGGTACTGCAAAGGACGCGACTCCTCGAGGTGCGAGACGGCCATGATATCCTGGAACTTCTTCAAAAGCTTCCCGCCGGTGGATGGATTGGACGCCTTCTTTGTGGCTGCCGGAGGCTCGGCTGCCGGAGACTTGGGTGCCGGAGGCCCGGCACCGGTTGCGGTCCGGCCAGCGCTTTCTCAGACGTTGGCAAGTTGGGGGCTGCGGCGGTGTTTAGCGGCGAGGATGTTTCTGAGCTCGTCGCCTCATTCCTGTCAACCTCCGGGTCCTGGGGCTCTGGGCCCACTGCACTGAAACGACCCATGACGGTGTGGAACCTGGAGGCCACGAAAGGGTTATTGGCCAGGGCCAGGGTGGGGAGGTGCTGTTGCCACTGTGACCATTGGCAACTCGGAGCACAGGACGACCTGCAAGGGGTGAGCGCTCTGCACTGTTTGGGGTGTAAAACCCCAATTTTGGGGGCCTGGAGCTTTGTTGATGGCCGGAAACCCTCTTGTTTCGGCCAACTGCCGCTGAAGGTCTGCCTTGCCGTTCATCACGCCCATCTGGCGGCACGCTCAGAAATGTGCTTTTGGTCTGCTCGTTTTCAAGCTTCACTTTCTGCAGCCAGCAACATCCTGCTGCCGCCACAAGCCACACGACACCACACGACACCATCTCTTCTCTTCTCCGACTGTTCTCCACTCCGGAACCCTGAATCTTCCCCACCCTTGGTCTTCAACCCCTCTCAGAAGCCTCCATGCGGTTGCTGCATGTCCACATTTTTTATGAAACAGTACTTCTACAAAAGAGAGTCCGAAGTCTCCTGTGTCCTCGGGGCTTGAGCTTGCACAGAGGACTTCAGACTGTAGGATGTTGCTGGCAGGGTCTGCGGGTTTTGGGGAACGGGTTTTTCGGTGTTTAGGGTTTCGGGCTTTCGGATTCTGTGGAGCCTTGCGCCTATCGCCACGAAGAGGCCTCGCCGAAGCCCCAGTTCAGGGTTGTAAGTTGTAAGGCTTGCCGAGTTTGTAGGATTGGGTCCTGGACATGGGCAAACTCTATTTGCTGTGGTTTGGCAGCCTCCCGTTGCCGGAGATGAGCCGACAGACAGCCATGGACAACGCGGCACCTCACAGGGCGTCGCTGCGACAGGGCCGACGGAACGGAGCAAGATCAGCAATGGCAAAATAAGGCTTACAGGCTGTGCCGGAGCATGCAAGAAAACGTAGACCCGAAGAGAGACGCGGAAATCCCAAAGCATGCACGGAAGAGCCAATGTGACCATGTGAAGCCTGGCTACCTGCCCGCATTTTGCGGCTCTCGGATGAAGCACGACATTAAAGGGCAGCAACCGGTCAACGATTTCCTCGTGCTCTGAGAGAGGGAATTGTTTCACTGCGAGTTTGCTTTTGATGCGTTCTGCTGTTTTTGGTTTTTGTTTGTGGTGGTGTGCTGGCTTTTAGATTGCTTTGTCTGTTTCACTCTGTCACAATAGACCGGCCTACTGTGCTGCTGATGTGGTAAAGGGGCACCCGCTTCAAAAAAAAAGGTCTTGGAGGGTGGTGTTTGGTCGTAGAGGTGCGTCTTGGAGGGTGGTGTTTGGCTTGCAGGTCCTTTTGTGGTGCTTTTGCGCTTGTTCCAGCGTTTCTTCCACCGGTAACGTTGCGAGGGCACTTCCGGCTTAAATCAAAATCACCATCCAATTCACGAAGAGCTTCACACGTTGAACTGGCAATGCCTGCTACACCACGATGGACCATCCACACAAGAGCATTCCCTGTGGGTGGGTGGGTCAAAGATGCTTTTTCTTCTGACACTCAAAAACTTGAGAAGAAAGAGCCATCATGCCCATTTATTCTCTTAAACATGCTGTGTCAAAGTCATCTTAAAATTTAGCTTACATCATGTGACTTCATGCTTGGTTTGATAAAACAAACTTCATGCATGCTTTGTTTTGCTGACAATCAAAACAATCCACTTCTACAAATAAGGGTGTTGCCCATTCTGGGCCGGTACCTTATTTGCCTTGTGGACCGCATGCAACCTTCACATCGCGTGTGCGATTGTTTGTAGCCATTAAAAATTCAATCTCCCACTAAAGGTCAGCATAGAAATATTGAAATCCAATGACAGAATCTATCTGAGCAAAAGGTTCACAAAACTAACGATCCAGAAGATTCATCACATGAGATCCCAAACAATCATGATGACACTCACTCGCTCCTTTGTTTTTCTTCCAAAAGGCAAAGGGGTCAAAGTCAGTCTTTTGTTGTGCGGCAATGCCTACACCACGATGGACCCACAAGAGCATGCCCGATCATCTCCCGGTGTGGGTGGGTGGGTCAAAGATGCTTTTCCTTTTGACACTCAAAAACTTGAGAAGAAAGAGCCATCATGCCCATATATTCTCTCAAACATGCTGTGCGGGCTGGACATCACTCCTATGGCGACCACACAGCAAGAACCTCTGCAGAGGATGCAAGGATTTCTTGGAGCACGAAAACATCTGAGGTACTGTTTCAGGGATAATTTGTGGAGAATACCCTGAACAAAGACTTCCATCTTTACCAATCTTGCTTTGGACATTTAAAGTGCTGACACATGGCAAGACCGGAAATAACAGTGATAAAACGCTGGCTAAATCTTAATGCCCTGAGAGGATTCTACCATCGGTAGAAGCTGCTTATGAAAATGTTAAAAGTCTTCTTCAAAGGTTCGACGGTCTCTCAATTGCTGCCAAAAAAGAAATGTGCTGGAACCTGATTGTGTTGGTTAACTCCTTCAATTTTGCAGCTTTCCGTGCTGTTTTCGCTGCATCCAAAAAAAAAAATAATTGCTGCCCAAGAAGGCCTTGCAGTGGGTCGGCTGCTGCTTGAAATAAATTTCTGAAAGTCTAGAGGTAGAGCTTTCAAACATGTTTGAAAGGCTCAGAAATCTGGCTTGGAAGTGATTTGGCACTGCTGCCAAAAAACTAAAAGCCCAACAGTAAGTAGACCTCTTAAACTGTTGAAACTTAAAAAAAGTCCAGAAGTGATTGGGTCCGCAAACGGCCGGAACCTTCGCGGTTCTCAGAATTGGACGCTGCCAGTGGCCAAACGGCAAAGAGTAAGCCAAAAAAAAAATGTGCATCTTCACTTCCATGCGGGTCTGGGAGGGGGCGGGCAGATCAGTGATGCAAGCCATGGCGGTCGATCGATTGGAAGTCAGTGCTTGAATGAGTTCTAGATGGGCGTTGGAGCTTCTAAAGGAACTTTAAGCAATTTTCAAGGTTGCCAAAACAAACTGAACAAAAGCTCCAACCGCTGGAATTTAAACAAATGTGCCCCGACCCGATAAGACTGACGTTCCTCATTTGTCATCCAAAAACCATGGATGCAACGAAATCGCATGGCGATGATTCGATGGCAACTGTTTGACCGCCAGGTGGTGGCAGTCGAAGTGGTCGTCATCGTTGTCAGTAGTAGCAGGAGTCGTGGTGGCAGGAGTAGCAGTACTGCAACTACTACTACGACGACTACTATTGCTACGACTACTACTACTACCACTACTACTACTACTACTACTACTACTACTACTACTACTACTACTACTACTACTACTACTACTACTACTACTACACTACTACTACTACTACTACTACTACTACTACTACTACTACTACTACTACTACTACTACTACTACTACTACTACTACTACTACTACTACTACTACTACTACTACTACTACTCTACTACTACTACTACTACTACTACTACTACTACTACTACTACTACTACTACTACTACTACTACTACTACTACTACTACTACTACTACTACTACTACTACTACTACTACTACTACTACTACTACTACTACTACTACTGCTACTACTACTACTACTACTACTATACTACTACTACTACTACTACTACTACTACTACTACTACTACTACTACTACTACTACTACTACTACTACTACTACTACTGCTACTACTACTCCTACTACTACTACTACTACTACTACTACTACTACTACTACTACTACTACTACTACTACTACTACTACTACTACTACTACTACTACTACTACTACTACTACTACTACTACTACTATTACGACTACTACTACTACTACTACTACTACTACTACTACTACTACTACTACTACTACTACTACTACTACTACTACTACTACTACTACTACTACTTCTGCTACTAGTACTAGTAGTAGTAGAAGTAGTAGTAGTAGTAGTAGTAGTAGTAGTAGTAGTAGTAGTAGTAGTAGTAGTAGTAGTAGTAGTAGTAGTAGTAGTAGTAGTAGTAGTAGTAGTAGTAGTAGTAGTAGTAGTAGTAGTAGTAGTAGTAGTAGTAGTAGTAGTAGTAGTAGTAGTAGTAGTAGTAGTAGTAGTAGTAAGTAGTAGTAGTAGTAGTAGTAGTAGTAGTAGTAGTAGTAGTAGTAGTAGTAGTAGTAGTAGTAGTAGTAGTAGTAGTAGTAGTAGTAGTAGTAGTAGTAGTAGTAGTAGTAGTAGTAGTAGTAGTAGTAGTAGTAGTAGTAGTAGTAGTAGTAGTAGTAGTAGTAGTAGAGTAGTAGTAGTAGTAGTAGTAGTAGTAGTAGTAGTAGTAGTAGTAGTAGTAGTAGTAGTAGTAGTAGTAGTAGTAGTAGTAGTAGTGGTAGTAGTAGTAGTAGTAGTAGTAGCCGCACGGTTCACAGCAGTTGGGAAGTCAACCAGCCTCCAGGCCGAACGCACTAGAGCTCAGCAACAGGCCCTGCCTTCGCAGAAGCTTCAAGGATTCTGCCTTTGCCTGAGCCATTTTGCCATTGGAGCTACGAGTCGACTCTGCTGTGAACCGCCGGGTCCCAATTCCCGGGCCTCACGCACACCGACAACAACGAGTTTGCAGAGGTAAGCGGTAGGGTTTCCACTGCTCCGCGAGGTGGAAGGAGTACCCTCTTTAGTGACTTCATCATCTATGTTTCTGGAGGGGAAAAACAAGCGGATGGCGAGCCGAACGCGCCTCAGTACATTTCTCCTGCCTACACTTTTCCATTTACAAAAGGTTCTGCAGCACACAGACATCCTTGGAGCAGCGCAACATTGGTCGACTTCAGAGCCTGGTTGCTATGCAAGAAGTATCAGTGCTGAGGCCTGTTTTTGTGCTTCGAGCAGCTTCTTCGGGATGATGCGCTCAGAGATCACTGCAATCCTTTTCTGTGCAGTTAATGCGAAGTGGCAGCTTCTTCTCCGAGACACTCATGCTCAAAAGCCGCTTCGCAGACAAGTACGTGACTGGCCACGACACGCCCCCTCCCCCCCCAGTTCGAGCTACAGCCCAGTCACGTATTGCTTTGGATACTGTTGAAAGGGATTGCAGCGCAGCTGACATGCTGCTTGCTCCGGGGAAAACGTCAAACGTTGGTGAGGATGAGAAGTCTCCGATAAGGTTGTACGGACTTGCAACACAGCTGCCAAACACCAAGCTATCCAACGGCCTTCAGCACGACGCAATCCTCCCAATGCTGGCCCCGCTGAGCACCCTGATGTCTTTCGATGCACATGGGGTGCCCTTGTGGCCCCAGACGGGGCGCCGGGCTGGTCTTGTCTACAGGACAAGGTGCAGGTTGGGACACTGCAACCACAGTTCTGAAGTACGACCAGCTACATGCGCAGGGCTGCTTGAGGGTGATGCTGGCCCCAACATGTCACCAACGCCTTGTCTTGCAGCGGGGTGCGAGAGCCGGGACTCGCTCTTGAGGCGAGGAGCAGGTTCGGTTCGCCCTCTAGCAGTTTCTGCACTATGGTACGGCTCCACGACACGGCTGGGCACAGACTTTCTGATGAGCGATATGCCGCTGCCGCAACACAGTTGTGAGCATCCAAGGACACAGTCCTTCACGGCCTTTACTGGCTGAACGTCTTACGGCCCTCCGCTGGTTGTCGTGAGTTACCTAGTGTGGGACGCCACTAGACGGGAACTCAGGGTGTCGGCCCATCCGGGTACGGCCCACCGGCACCAGTGCGTGAGTATCGGACGCGATGACTCACATTTAGGGTGACGGAGACAGTCAAAAGCGAGTGAGTCTGAGCTGGGCCTTAGGCAGTTTCAGTTATCATTTGAAGCCGATTTGCGAGCCTGATGTTTCTACAGCTTTGTACAGCCAGCCTCATTTTAAACTCTATTCCTTGTAGGCATTTCCTTTCCCTTCTCTGAGGCATCGGCAAGTCTGATTCCAAGGATGCGCTTGCCTTGTGTTCTTTGCTTGTTATCGTACGTTCGTGGCAGAGGTAGCAGCCTGGGCCTAGGAGCTTTAGGTTCGTCCATTGCTCTTCAAAGGGATGAGGTAGGTAGCTGCGATTATCGCAGTGCAGTCCCCCCGCGCCCGCTCCAACGCCTAAGTACGTGTTGGGTCTTGTTGCTTGTGTGTTGGTAGTATTCGGTTTGGTCTTGTTTGCTTGTTTTTCCTTGGCTAGGCGGGTCCAAAGGACGGAGCTGGCAACGGCACGTTTCAATGGGCTTTTAGCTAATGGTCAAGGCACGTCCGAAGGGCGGAGCTGGCCACGGCGCGGCACGTCTCACGGGCGGGGCAAGCCAAGGGCATGGCGCCTCCCGAAGTTTCAGAGTCGCCCGCTATGAGCAGAGCCCGCTCGCTCAGCGTTCAATAAAAATAGTAGTAGTAGTAGTAGTAGTAGTAGTAGTAGTAGTAGTAGTAGTAGTAGTAGTAGTAGTAGTAGTAGTAGTAGTAGTAGTAGTAGTAGTAGTAGTAGGATGATTGTTGAACCTAGACTGCCTTGTGTGAAAGGCTTCTCGGTGAGTAAAGCGGGAGAGTGCTTCGTGCTCACATTTTGCTGTGAAGCAAAAAATCCAAGTGAAGTTACCCTGCAGACTTAATTCCTTTGCAAGATGCAGTAGCGTCGCGGCGGCGTCTTTTGAGCAGACGACGCACGTTGACAGCCGCCGTCTGCTCCGGTGCTTGTGTTCAAAGTCCAGAGGTTGTCACCAGACTTAAAGATTTTGGGCCGCTGCAAGCTAGATATTATGACGTGTACTCAATTGATGTGCCGGTGTAAAGAGATCTGGGCTTGAATGCAGAAAATTTCTTTTTTTCCACCCAACCCACCCATGGGAAGATTCTGGGGCCGACGCATCATCATTTGTGTCACAAGGCCGTTGGCTCTACAGGTGTCAGCAAGGTGCCACCCATCGGGTGGCTACGTTCCCCATTTTGTTGGCTTGCCGAAGAAAAAAGTGCGACTAGTAAGATGATTCAACGTGTTCCGAATACTTGAAATTTTCAAACTCTCAGGTTCAGATGTATTCGGGAAATGTTAATTCCAAGTTTGTTCAACGCGAATGCGTATGCGTGTCATGGTGGGGCTGCTAGACATTGTTTTGGTTTTGTTTTGCGACTGTCCAGTGTTCTGAGAGTGGGTTCTTGTGTGCTCTCTTGACGCTTTGATTTGTTCATGTGGGTTGCGTGTCGCCCCCGGTGCTGGAGCTGTGTGCTCCCCCTGCATCTGGCGCACGTGTTGTGTTGGGATCGTTCCGTTTCGATCCGCTGTGGTTGATTTCTCTGGCCCCAACTTTGTGCGAGTGGGTCCTCGTGTGCTCTCCGAACATACTGTTTTGTTCATGCGGGTTGCGTGTCACCCCGGTGCTGGAACTGTGCTCGCCCTGCCTCTAAAGGTGACAGTTTCCATCGGGGTCAAGCTTGCTTTGCACTTGGCCTGATGATTCCGTGTGTTAGGTGTGCTTGCTGCGTTGCTTGTTGCGACGATGTGGCCCTGGTTGTTGCATTGGTCGATCGTCGTTTTGGGCCGGTTGTGTGTGTGGAGTTTTTGAGCTTGCTTTGCACTTGGCCTGATGATTCTGTGTGTTGGGTATGCTTGCTACATTGCTTGTTGCGACGATGTGAGGCCCTGGTTGCTACATTGGTCGATCGATCGTCGTTTTGGGCCGGTTGTGTGTGGAGTTTTTGAGCTTGCTTTGCACTTGGCCCGGAAAAATTCCGTGTGTTGGGTATGCTTGCTACATTGCTTGTTGTGACGATGTGAGGCCCTGGTGCTACATTGGTCGATGGTCTTTGTGGGCCGTTTGTGCATGGTGTTTTTGAGCGTGCGTTGCACTTGGCCTGTTGACTTTTGTTTGTTGTCTATGCTTGCTGCCAAATTGCTTGTTGTGACGATATTCTTCTCGCTGGATGTGCGTGCTACATTGGTCGTGGGCTGAGCCTCCTCTACAGCTGACAGAGCTTTTCTCCATGTGTAACGTTTGCGTTGCCTCCTTACATTTTTTCGCGCTTTCGATGTGCAGTTTGATGAGAATGTCGCCCTTGTTTGCTGGATTTTCGCTTGATTCCCACCCATGGCTGCACTAGCTAAATCCCCACCTTGAACTCTGTGACGGAGTGGGGCGATGACGCTTGCCCCCCTGAGAAGTTGTGAGGGACGTGGGAGGCAGGCCGCGCCGTAAGTGCTGGTCGACACTCACTCGCTCACTCACGCAAGGAGAAGGTCACTTGTCATATCAAAGTTGGTTGATGTTGGAAAGAAGTCTCGAGAAGAAAGGTGTTTTGCCCCCAAGCTGGCGATGGAGGACATTTTGCGCGATTTGCAGTGAACTGAGCCTGGCAGTGCAAGGCGTAGGAGGAACCTTTCAAGGCTGGACAACTCATTGCGAGCCGGAATGCCGCAGCAAAGAAAAGCACGTGAAGAAGTGAAAGAAAGGCGAGAATCAAGGATGGTGGCAGAAGCACAGTGAACGAAGGAAGGAGACGAAGGCTGGAGAAGGAGAAGGCACTACAGAGAAGGAGAACGAAGAAAAAACACATGAACGAGTATAGAAGAAAAAGAAGAAAAAAAGAATAAGGAGAGAGTGGCAAGCGACATTACGTTTATTGGGGGACTCAAGAACAAAACAGAGAAGGAAGGAGAAAGAAAAGAAGAAGGCGGATAAGGAAAAGAAACGAGAATTCCAAGACGTCATCAAGACCAAACCTATATCGGTAGAAGGCCCGCGCCCAGGTTCCAACCCAAAAAGGCGAGCTCAAGGCTTTAATTGAGCCATTTGACGATTTGCGAAACTATTCTGAGTAGCCCCCGAGACCCTCCACTATTTGCACGGATTCGTCTTGCGCAAAAAGCCTCCGGCCAGGTAGCTCCCTCCTGACCTCCCATCCACAATTGGTGGCCAGTTGGTGTACGCTGTGGGATCCAGAATATGCTCCTACATCTAATGTAAGAAGGAAGAAGGCAGAGCTAGGGGGCTTCTCCTCAATGAAGAAAAGTGCGAACATATGTCCTTGAGTACAGATAGGCTGTATCCACTTCCAGCCCTCCGTGTGCTCGCCATGCGACCGCTCGTACTGCAGTGCTGTAGTGGTGCACCTTCTTCGACACTTAAGGTATATCGTCCTGTCTTACAATCCATTCTTCTCGATGTGATGGAAAGTGTTTAACTTTTCTCCCTCCCAACTTACGCACTTAGGTTTTGTACACTATAAACCCGATGGCGCATCTTTACGATTAAGTCTTCTTGCTAGCACATAGCACTCGACTGCGAGTACCTTCATGACCTTGCTATTAAAGCAGGGCGGGTCATCACACCTTCTCGGATACTCCCAAAATCGCTTAAAGCTGGGTTTAGCTCCTCTATGATGTATAGGGACAACACTCTACTGGAGGTTTCTCCCCCCAGTAGCCGGTGACAGAAGCAAATGGCCGTATCATGTTTTCTTCATACTCACAATCATAATCATTCATTCTTTTGCGTTTCCCTCTGCTGCTTTGAATGGTGTCGGTGCTGAGGCTGCTGCACTGCAACTTCTGCTTCACTGTTGGGATCTTTCAAAATGAGATTGCAAACTAATGAGCTCTCGGGTCATCGACAACGTGCAGATGATCAAATCATGCAAACATGATGGGCAGAGGCAAGCGTTCAATCGTCACTGTTGTACTTTGCAAGGCACAACGATGATCAGGTGTGCTGGTAGTTGCAGATCACCGTTCATGCGTTTTAAGTTTGACTCTGTCCTGCGCCAAAAGTCATCTCCGACACACCTAAACGAACGTCAACCACGCACTCCACACACTGCCTGGTGCGGCGGGACCGGCCTTATATAGATTCACTACTGAGGTGCGTTGCATTTTGCAAAAACCGACTGTTGCACGGGGCTCGCGCTGAATAGACTCGCTCATTTGTGAACAAAATTTACACACGGCATGCGACTTCAAAAACAAAGCCCTGAGGCGCATGGATCGCATGATCCCTTTTATAGCGATTGCCACAGATGCCACAGTCACTGTCACCGCGTTGATGGAAGCAATATTGACAATGAACAGTGAAAAGTTGAAAAGATCTGAATAACCAGGCGCCAACTGCCTCCGCGAATGTTGAAACATGAAAGCTGGGACCCTCAACGCCCCTCAACATGAAATTCCGACGTAAAGCACTTGGGACTTTGGCTCCACACACGTCACATGGAGGGTCCCTCACAGAAACATGGCGACCCCCGCACTCAGCCCATACCCTTTGCCGCACCTCCCGTAGCCTAGCCACCCAGCCGTCTGACAACAGAGATCTGAGAACCATGAAACGGCCCTGATCTACACTACATGATTCTACCCCCAGCGTACGGCAACACTTGCAACCTAACCTGCACAAACCTGTCCTGGTACTAAGTGTCACAAGCATCAACGTTCCCCACCCGCTCAAACCAGTGCCAGCAAACCCTGTTTTTCACCTTTGCTGCAAGGGGTTTGTAGAGCGTATGGCAAGCCAAAGGCTTGGCTTTCGGTGATTCAGCGTTTAGGATCTCTCGTGGTTTGTCCTTAGGCGTTGCCTGCACTTATTGCACCGGGCGTCAGCCGCCGAGTATAAAACCCATGGCTTCTGAAGGTGATCTGCAGCCTTTCATGCTGAGAAAGACGCGCCCGGGTGTGCGACAACATATGCAATGTTTCTTAAGTGCTGGCCTCGTGTAAGTTGAACGCTCATGAAACGGCAGGGAAACGGCTACAAAATGGCCGACTCACTCGTGTTTTGATTGTAATTGTGAGATTCCAAAAGTTGATCCGTAGTCTTTCAGCAGAAGGTTGTGGACACAATTGCTGAAACCACGGAGAGTGCAGAGGGGATAGCGGTATCCATGAGACATTGCTAAATGGAGCACCGCCCCAAAGGTCGCTGGATTTTTTCTGAAACTTGAAAGCATGGTCGCACAATGGATGCGGAGTGAATCCTCAAGTTCGCCTGGTTATACTGATATGCTTCATGAACGGATTGTTTTAGCCGCTTTAGTCAACTTCAGTCGCCTTCCTTCGGTTGAAGACCCTTGCAATGGTTGCCCCATCTTTGCGCAGCTCAGGGGTGAATTGCGGGCCCCGGCCGGCCCTGCGCAAGCCAGAGCGTTCTTTGGCCAGCAGAGCAGCATCTCACTAGAATGCAGAGTGAAGTGGTAGATATGGAACTGCGGCCTTTTGTGACAGTTGGCTCCCGTTTTCGTCCCGCTCAGGCTTTGCAATTGCGCGTACGGCACCTTGCAGATTCCTACTTGTCCTGGGGTTTGCTTCATAGTTGTTGGCATGGCGTGCTTGTTCAAAGCAATGCTTGACAGGCTCTTGACGAAGTTCAAATTTTGGTTCGAGTGACAGCCTTTTGACTCGAGCTAGGATTGTGTTGCAGGCTGACGCCGACATCAGAATTGGAGCCAATGGCAGGGACGCTGAGCCAAACATCCTTGCAGGATGTACGGGCACATGAGTGTGAGCCGAAGGCAGGTCCACGGTGAACAAATTGTGGGTCGAATGCTGACAGTTCGTTTGTGTCGTTGCATCTTGGTATTGGCCGCATGCAGGGGGAGGATCCTTTGGCTCCGAGGTGCTTAGGTCCTTCGGGCTTCCTGAAAGATAAAACCAGCATGTTTCTGGCAGGGCGAGCACTCCAGACGAGGGTAAAGATTTTTTGGTGTCCTGACCTCAATTTGAGTCTCAAATAATCGGTGCACCTCAATGGCGCTCCAGTTGCATTGTGCATCTGCCAAGCAAGGGCTGATGCACTGTCCTCGGATGACATGCGCCTGCTCTTCCAACTGCAGGCCGGCCGTAGTTCATTGAGAATTGAAATACATTGCAATCTTTGTACTGGCGCATGCGGGAAAGGGCAGAGAACTGGGAAGACCGAGGTAATCAACAGCCAGTTGCGTTCAGAATTGAGTTTGGAAGACGAGGACCTACCACAGGCTCGGAGCTTTCCGGTGTGATGCGGTGTAATTGTGTGGCTGGGGCCGTGAAGCGAAACTAAATGTCATTCGTGATAGGCTCGCTGCTTAGCCCAATGGGACGTTTTTCACAGGCACACACACACATACACATTTTAGTTTCTTTCCGTCCCATATTTCGCGCCAATATCTTTGGATCCAGGTGTGGCTTTCTGCATTGTTTCTTCGCATCGCTGTTTTGCAGGTTGTCGGCAAGTGCTTGCAAACTTTCGGTAATGATAATGCCCTGCTGCCGACGGCGCTGATGCTCCTGCAGGTGCAGCTGCAGCTGGGCTGCAATTAGGACCGCCTCAGATCGCCTCAGTGCGGACCAAGTAGGTGCTACCATCGAGTCCTTAACTTGCACTTGCAATCTGTTTCGGCGCGTATATCCAAGATGGTTTCAGAGGCACAACTCCCCCCGAGTCAGGACACTAGCGCACACTCGGTATCACGCGTTCATCTCAGAGCCATTTCTTAGACATTCTTGGAAAGAGCCCCCCCCATGTTGGACCATGTTGGGTCGTTTGTAGAGCAGGGCTTGATGCACCCAGCCCTAATGTGTCGAATCCTTTTGCAGGATTTACCGGCAAAGAACAGAGATCATTGAGATCATGCATATCCCGCCAGCAGAAAGCGCTCCAAATCATTTTTCGCAATCGTGAACCTGAAAAAGCAAACTGGCGCACTCCTAGGCTTGAATGCCCTGGTCATTGTTGAGTCCCCTGCATTGTCACCAAACCTGGCTCTGTGGAGCTTGCGAGAGCTGTCGATCAAGTTGTTTGCAACAGTTTCCGAATAATGCCTTATACAAAGGAAAGCCTCCACCCCCTTTACTTTTCGACGGCTTCACAGCTTCACAACAGGCAAATCCAACAAATCCAAAATGTCAAAGCAACGGAGCCGAGAGCAGGACGTACCTGGAGTTTGACTTCATTGTTTTTGTTTTCTTGTAGGCAACGCCGGACCCAAAAACAATGCATTCAAAAGTTCAAGCTCTTTCGGGATAATCTCGCGGGATTGTTTTGGGCTTCGCTAGGTAGATAGTGCTTGTCTCGGCAAGTAGTGTTTTCCCAGGCAAAGTGTTGATCAAGTATTACTGAAGCACGAAGCAAAGTGAATCTGGAGTATCAGCCATGCTATATAAACAAATGAAATGTTCATGGCACATTGTTAATCGCATATGAGATTAAAGATTAGAGCCCTTATTTAACACTTGAATTTTAGTTAGTTCTTTACGTAGGAGGTCGTTGGAAGACAGCCAGAACATGAGTTACACGCTTATCAAGCTACAAAACCAGTTTTCATTGCAGACTAGTTTGCGCAAGACTACTTCGCAGCATTTAACTTGAGAATTGCATGTGAATAAGAGTACGTACAAGCATTTTTCCTTACAGTTGAATTGACAGCTTTGTCGCTGTCGATTATCCCAGATGCAAACGATGGGAGTGTGGAATGTTCAGCCCTTTATTGAATTCCGGCTTTGTCACCGACATTCTGATAACACGAAGATCTTCTCCACATGAGCAGATCATTCTTTCGCTCATTCTGGAATTTCGATGATGGATACCAGGATACCACTCGTCTACACAGTTTTTCCTGTATGTGACGAAGAAAGTGCAAGATTCCGAACAAAACCTCCGAGCCCCATTTGCGTGCATCCTTTGAACATGTTAGCCTAATTGTTTTTCCCGGGAACCCGGACAGCTTTGCACAATGTCGGTGCCGACGGTCGTGACAACCGTGACTTGCACATTGAAAATTCAAGATACAGTACCAAATGCGAGTGCTGTTGATAATAGCATTGACCCGGGAAACTGGGTCCCCTTTTCCCGGGGGGGGGGGGGCGAAGACGAAATTCGAAGACGAAATTTGAAGACGAAATTTGGCCCAGCCGAAATTTGGCCCTGAAGACGAAATTCGGCACTCAAGACGAAATTCGGCCCTGAAGCCTAAATTGGGCCCTGAAGCCTAAATTGGGCCCCTGAAGCCGAAATTCTGCCCCGAAGACGAAATTCGGCCCCGAAGACGAAACCCGGCCGCTGAAGACGAAATTCGGCCCTGAAGCCGAAACTCGGCTCCTGAAGACGAAATTCGGCCCGGAAGCCTAAATTCAGCCCTGAAGACGAAATTCGGCCCTGAAGCCGAAATTCGGCTCCTGAAGACGAAATTCGGTCCCGAAGACGAAATTCGGCCCTGAAGCTTAAATTCGGTTTCGGTCCCCCCTTGGGCCTGCAGCTTAAAATGGCCCAGAATTTCGTTTTCGGAGCCGAATTTCGTCTTAGGAGCCGAATTTCAGCTTCAGGGCCGAATTTCGGCTTCAGGGCTGAATTTAGGCTTCCGGGCCGAATTTCGTCTTCAGGAGCCGAGACTCGGCTTCAGGGCCGAATTTCGTCTTCAGCGGCCGGGTTTCGTCTTCGGGGCCGAATTTCGTCTTCGGGGCCGAATTTCGGCTTCAGGGGCCCAATTTAGGCTTCAGGGCCGAATTTAGGCTTCTGGGGCCGAATTTCGTCTTCAGTGCCGAATTTCGTCTTCAGGGCCAAATTTCGGCTGGGCCGAATTTCGTCTTCAAATTTCGTCTTCGAATTTCGTCTTCGCCCCCCCCCGGAAAAGGGGACCCAGTTCCCCGGGTCTCTGTATATAATATGCCAGACTCTTACTGGGTCGTACACGACAGAGCTGCAAGTTTGCAGCCTGGCAGGTGGAGTCTCAAACCGATGAGTTTGTGGACCAGCTGAGGCTAGAAGCCAGAGTTTTTGTATTGAAACTCGAGTGCATGTCAAACGGTGATTGTTTGTGCAGGTAGTTGTGCTGAGACTTTGGTACAGCTGAGTGGCCTCAGGCGAGCTGCTTTGGAAGGCCACTTGCTCAAGTCTGAGCTGAAGTCCTTGGAGAAGGATGGGGCATGCAGTGGATTGCTCAACAAAGCTTGCTAATTGCGTGTTTGTAGCTCTCAGGAGCTGTCGAGGATGGCTGCCAATCTCACGGAGGTCAGTGATTGTTACGCAGACGGATCGTGTTGACCACTCCCCACACTCTCCACTCCCCCCACTCCCCGCACTCTCCCTTTGGCCGTGCCTCCTGGTTGGCGCATGAAAACTTAGCTCAGTTAAATGCCAATGAGCATACGCCTTTGGAGTCATTAGAGTGTTACGTTTTGCCATGTTTTGCCGTGGCTTTAGGCTCAAAGTGCTTAGTGAGGCTCCATGTGAGTGGTGTTTGTAGGTATTTGGCATTCTTTTGTGTTCTGACTGCATACAGAAGAAGTTCGCTCTGTGAAGAATTTGTTTGACCTGCAATGCCTACGAATATCTTCAGGACGAGTTGAACAAGTGTGCCGAGAACACGCAAACTCCACTCCGAAGGCTTGGTTTGTGGACTTCAAGTTTACGATCACGCTATGAATGAGTTTTTCTTGGTCTGGTTTCTGATTGTTTTTAAATTCTGGTAATTCTCCTGAATGGAGTCCAGTTGGTTGACGGATTCCATCGAACATCCTGGCAGCAGGGTGCCGCAGCTGACCCTTAGTTGTGCTTCTTTGTGCATGTGGCTGTCGTTTCTATCGCCAGCTTGTTGAACTTATGAACTGCCCCCGCAGGTCTTCTGCTGATCTTGTGGAACAGGGTCAACAGGCTGGGTGAAAGATTGGAGAAGCAGGAAAATAGACTTCCATGATGAAACTTCCATGCTGCCGAGTGCCAACTTGTTGTGTCAATTGAATTCAGGGTGTTGTGCTGAGCTATTCTCCGAGCAGCTGTGAAAGTTATCCACTTGAGCTTTTCGATTCCTTTTGAGTACAGATGGCTCCAGGTTACCAGACAAACTATTGAGCTCAGCTCCTGTGCAAGCCTCAGTTCATCGGTCTACACAATTTCAACAAAAGAGCAGCTTATAGAGTCGTAGACTTGGCAGCGGCGGTTCTAGATCAGATCGCAATTCCAGTCTTGGACAATTTGTACCAGTAGAGGTCTCAGCGCCTTTGCACTGCCAAAAGGTTACGAAGAGCGGGTTCGGAGGCTTGAGGTCGCGAGCTTGTCTAGTTGCGTTCGACCTGGTCAGATGCAAGCTGAAGTCATCGGAGTCAGTTCTGCTAGATGATGTAAGCATGGCTGCGAGCCGCAACACTGGCTGAGTACAAGACTTGCACCAATTTCACGTTTGTCACTTGGACTGTACCATGCGGATAACCCTCGGTGCACTTCCGGTCCAACATGGTCCAATCTTCACTTCAGACAGCCATTGAACTGACTAGTTGCTTTCTTCTAGATGATAGCGCATCTGGCACAAATGGTATGGTGCTCTCCTTAGACAGTCATTTTGTTGTGATGCACCGCCGAGCTTCCAAGCCCAGTTGACGACATGAAAATTGCATGACATAACACGAAGTTACATGAGATTTCATGAAAGAACATTGAACCTAGCCGCTCAATGGGTCTGAACAAGCCATCGCACAGCTTCACAGTTAAGACAATGAACAGACTTTTTTGGCTCCGACATGAGCGCAGACTGCGTGCAGGCTCGGATAAGGTTGCAAGATGCTGCAAGCGCTTTGTACGTTGTGCTGCCTGACACTTGGCCCAAAGTTTTTTCAATGGACATAAACAATTAGCGTTGTGTTCTACCTTTGCTCGCAAAAGCTGCTAGTAAGTACTTCAGTTGATGCTCGAGAGGCTGGTCTTTTCCTGGTGCTGTCAGAGGTGCACGCAGTGCAAAAAGGGCAGAGCAGGAGGAAAGCAGACTAACACTAAGTTTGTAGTTTCGTGGGATTGAAGTTGGCGGTGCTAGCTGTTGACGTGTAGCAAGTTGTCAGTGCAGGGCCTGCTTTGCACCTGGGTTGCATGTTCGCTGCGCATGTGTGCAGGTTGCAGTTTTCACAGAACTGTCTGGCACTTGTATCAGCCTGTGTTAGCGCTTCAGGTTAACATAGCATGCTCGCAGGACTTGTTTTCAGTGTGGAGGCTGCAGACAAGAACGGTTGACGTAGAGAGAGAGAGAGAGAGAGAGAGAGAGGAGGTCACCCCTATGACCAAAGAAAGAAAGGAATGAAAGGAGCAGTGGGGAGAGAGAGAGATATGCTCCGAGGCCCAAGTCCCCAGACCAGTCCGCAAGTGAGGCCAAGCCGGGTTTGCCCCAGCTGTTCCACGTCATCCATGGTGATGACGTCTGTGTTGAGCAGTTCAACAAGTCATCAAATTGCCTGTGGAGACGTGTTCTTGCTCATGCCTGCATGTCAGTATGCTGCTTCCAGCTGCTGTGGAGGCGGGAATCAGACTCATGTGGGTGCACATTGACTCTCCAAAAACTCTTACGATTGAAGATGTCGATTTTGATTTCGCTCCGTTTGTCCCCTTCGCTTCGGCAAGCCGAGCCCAGTACTGAGATAATTGGAAATGCTTTGGTTCATCATTGAAAAGTGCCAGTGGAGAAATTTGTCCACTTTTGCAAAGATTCGGGTGAAGAGAGGCCTCATTTCTTTTCGTCAGTTTGCAGGCAGTCCTTTTGTTTTACTTGCAAGACACAGCAATGCCAGCGATTAGTCCTGGAAGTGCTGAATTACCAGTCTGTGCTTGCCTTGAGCATGCCACATGGCAAAAACCTGGTGCCGAGCATTCAGACACCAGGCAGCCTTGTTAGAACCCAGTTGTTTTTTGTTCCAAGTTGTGCATGCGCTCGGATGCTTCTGGCAAATGATGTTAGCATCGCGTTGTAGATGTGAAGGCTCTTCGCAATGCTGCCCATTAACTGTCCCACTTTGTGACACATGGTAAAGTTTCCATGAAAAACTGCCCGTGTGTCGAATCCGCGTTTGTGTTTAGTTGCTTCCTGTACTGTGTGTCCAGAGGTTCCCGTCTTGGAGCTGAGCCGGGATCCAGGTCTTTACTTCAAGCTTTTGCGCTCCATAATTGTGATACTCCACGTGCACATGGCAGGGGAAGGCACAGAAATTTGTGGCTGAAAGTCCTGTTTGCTTGTCTTGGGCTGACATAGGTTGGGGCGACTCCGGCAGGGTGATATCATCGCTGCCGAGGCCGTGCCGTCCCCCCTCCCCCCGCCCCTATCCCCCTCCAAAAGGGGCATGGCATGTCACGAATGACAACCTCTTCTGAGGTCGCCTTTGTCCCATCTTCTCACCCCCCCAAGTGAGTGAACTTTAGTTCTGTCATGTTCTGTCTCTACAACAGTAACAACAGCTGGCACTTTCAGCTGTTCTCAGATCTCAGGCTTCGCAGTGCACCTGTGTTTTGATTGAATTGTGCTCTTCGCGCCTAGGCAGCCTCTTCTACATGCGACGAGGTGCTCCGCTTATTAAAAAGGCTGCGTATCATGCATTGCTTGAGTCACAGAGCCCCGTTGTCGCGAGACATGGCTACGACTTCTTTTTGACAGTCCTGTGCGAAGTGTCTCCCTCAAAGTGCAGCCAGCACAGTTGAGATTTGTGGCAAGAACCGTGCTTCACGGGGTTTCGACTCATTGCGATGGGCGCGATTTTGCGAAAGTTTGAAAATACATGCAAAGATGCAGGCTTCAGGGATGTAGAATAGAATGAATGTGTGGAGCCTGCGCTTGCCGACCAGAAATGGGAGATGGGATGTGATGGGAAACTGGACCGGTCTGTTGACAGGTTCGGTTCAGCAAGTTACGTCGCTCCACATGGCCAGACCACGACTGAGCTGCGTAGTTTGTTGGCAAGCTCAGGGTTGGTCTTCTTGGACGGTGGTGATATAGAGGTCACTGCTTCATGTCATCTCCTCTCCATGTCCGTAGTGATGAGATGTCATGAGTGGCTTGGCTGTGTGGTGGCCGGCGCAGGAAGCTGGAGGCGACCTGGGCATCTGGGCTAGTTTCATAGGGATCTTTGCGGTGCTGAAAGTCTATGGAAGTCGCATGGGAGTCCATGCAAAGCCCGACGCAGCGGCACAGTGGCTTGCCTTGTCCCAGGATCTACGGACTCGGGGTCCGGCACCTACTTCGGTTCTGCAGCACAGGCAATATGCATTTAGGCAGCATTGCACACATGTGGGGTTTAAAGTGGCTGGCTTGCTGACTGCTGAACCCTTTGCAATCCTCTGCACGGTCAATGGCCCTTCAGCTACAGATTTTCCTCTTAGGGCTGTCCCTTTGAAACAGTCCAGCTGCCCACACTTTTTGTCTGTGCATCGTGAACAGTCGTGAACCTGTAAGTTCCTCTAGCCCTCTCCATCACTCTCCTGAGCTAGCTGCTTTGTTTGGGTATGGTCGTGTGTTGTATTGTGTTGTTCAAGAATCCTACAGGTGTACACATGTGATGCAGAAGATGTGTGCATGTTCGCTGTGCGCCTGACACCTGTGCACTTCCACAGGTCAGACAGTAGCTCAAGCCCGGATCTCGGGGAACCGAGATTGTCCGAAAAGGTGTCTGGACGACACATGCAAAATCCAGGCTACGAAGCCGAGACGCTTACGGTGGTCAAAGTCGATGGAACAAGTGCCTTGGCAATAATACATTTTCCGGTTTTGCCACGCTGCCAGGAGGTTCAGTGAAATGCCAGGTGGCCTTGCTGGTGGTTATGTGCTGCAGCGGCATGTTCTGATAGGCAGCCTTCTGAGCCTCACCTGCAAGAGGGAGTCTTGGTGTCTTGACTTGGCACGAGGGGCTGCTTGCAAGGACATGGGCAGGCCCGTTGCCTGGACAGACGGCGAGACCAGAGACAGCAAGTGTTGGTGGAGAGGATCTCCCAGAGGCGAGGGCATCTCGCCTTGCCGATCGAGCAAAGTGATGCTGCAAAGTTCTTTGAAGTTCTTTGCCCTTCTCTGAGGAAGCCTCGCTCTGGCCCCAACATGTGCTTGAGCGCTTTCGGGCTACCGGCGTGCGTCCGCAGTGGCGCGACACACCAGGCCTTCGACATACATGATGCACTTGGCAGTGCAAGGTGAAGCACTGGCTGAGAGGTGAGGAATCCCTGGGTCTGCACAACGAGATGACGGGCCATGAGGCTATGGCTGTGACTAGAATGTAACAAAGGTCGGACTATGAGCAAAGGATGCGATTGGCAGGTGGAGGAAGGGCTGCGCTCAACCGCTCAGTTTCTGTCTATGGCCGAGGCGGGGGACAGCGCAGAGCTGGCTACTAGATACACTTAGGATACACTCAGATACCTTTATATTGTTTCGTGTGTTTTCGTATTTTCGTGCTGATCTCCAGGCCGTGCTCATCGTTGTGGGTCCAGGCATGGCCGCCGACTCAGGGCTTCCAACCCATCTCCCAGGCCCCGACTCGAGCACTCAAGTGTGGCAAGTGGCAAGAGACTTGCAGTGGACTCTGGCAGAACATGATTGTAGATGAGTGGGTCACAGAGCCACTGGAGAACTGGAGAATGATAATGTTGTTTCTGCGCAGTCTGCTGTTTCACACTCTATGTGTAACATCTGGTTAGAAATGCCAGGTGGGCATGGAACATGGTCAGGCCAGTTGTCTTTCGCTTTTGCCGGGCTTGGCTACGTGGATTTCATGACACGGCATTGATAACGGGTCTTTCATTGTGACGTGGGTGTTCCTGAATCTAACATTGCTGCCGCGGGCTTCAACGAAGACAAAATGCCACAACTCCACAATGTCCCGAGCTGTGACTGAACGGCCAACATGGTCAGGATGCACCTTCGAGCAGATGTGCACCAAACAACAGTTTACCGAGTCGCCTGAGCAGCTGGCTTACAGATGCCTAAAGCTTTGCCTTGATTTTGAGCTCTCCAAATGTCTCTCCAAATGTTGCGGATTTGCAGAGGTCAGCCTGGGAGTTCTGGCTACACTACTGCCGCATGTGCCGGCAAGCAGCTCCGCATGCGGGCTACAACGTGCTGGATCTTTGTGCAGAGGTCGCTCTCCACGCTTTTGTTCGAGCCTCAGGAATCACCTACTAGTAACCTGCAGCCACCGACACCCAATAGAAACAAGAGATTCTCCCTGTTTTCGATGCTACCTGGCAATGCATGCTGGGTGGGCACAGATGTAGAAGCCGTGGCTGTTCATTCCCAAAAGTAGAAGA